TCAAACTTTCATTTGTTGACTTCTGCCCTACCAAATGTGGTCCCATTGTTTTTTTTGTTTTTGTTTTTTTTTGAGAATTATTCTGTTAAAGGACAGATGAACACAGTCTTGGGTTTTTATTCCTTTTCAACATTTTGCTGAGTTGTAAGAATAATACAAAAGAGAAATACTCAAAGATGTCTTATTGTGCTGTAAACTTTCATCTATGGGTATCAAACTCAATTACATCACGTGATGTATTGTGACACATCACAGCGTTTCTTTGCCTTTGTGGAGCTGGAGTGGGTGTGGCCTGCATGTGACGAATCCGGCCCATGGGCCACCAGTTTGATAGGCCTGATCTAAGTGATCAGAAGAGAAGATTAATCCTGTCTTCTGGACATGTGTAACACGATTGAAAAAATCTGGAACTTTTGATTTAAATTCCTCAGTGTGTCTGAGTTGTGCATTTATATGACAAACTAATCACATTTATGAATATACTATATGATCCTTTTGGTAGGTCCTTTGGAAAAGTTTTGCTATCTTGAGGATATTTGTACTATGATAAGCACTGATATCGGTGAAATCTGTAAATTATACTGTGAAGTATTATTAACATTCAAAAATTCGATTATGTTTCATTCCCCTTAGGTCGTACCCAGTATTTGGAAACACTAGTATGCTCAGATTATTTTTGAATCTGAAATATATACATAGATATGGAAATCAAGATTTGAAGAAATTGAAAAGAAATTTGAATGTTTCATTTGAAAAAACATTGAAAATATTTTAAAATTTATATAGAGGTATAATTTGAAGACAAATGTAATGTGTTTATTTATTTGTTAGATTTAGATCCTGTCTTTAAATTAGAAGTTCAAAGTGACATGAATAATGCTGCTTTCTCTCACTTTTTCTAATGTTAACAACCCTATAAGATAGTTTGAGTTGACAGTTATTTGAGGTCTCTGGTGTGACTCCTGATGTAAGTGAACATTCTTAAGCAATAAGTGTGTTGGGTGACTGCAGTCCAATTTTCTGTCCCTGGTGAAGTAAGTGATGCTGTGAATGTTCTTTTGTGGTGCTTGGAAGCAGTGAGGGCATGGATGGAGAACAGTAGACTTTAGCTGAATCCTTGTAAGACAGTGTGGCTTTTGGTGGGCTGCTCTGGAACCAGGAGTTTATCATCTTTGGTCTTGAATGAAATTGTGCTACCCAGACAGAAAAGATGTGCAATATAGGGGTCCTCCTGGACTCACTGCTCCTGCTCAAAGAGCAAGTGGCAACTATAGCTAAGAGGGCCTTTGCTCAACCATGCTGTGTGTCAGTTATGTTCTTTCAGATTGGTCAGTCATGCCCTGATCATCTCCCATTTGGACTATTGCAATGCATTCTACACAGGCTACCTTTGAAATATATCTGGAAGCTTCAGCTGAATATGGCCGTGTGAGCAATCTTGCATGCCCAAAGAAGGTGCATATAACACCTTTGCTGTGAAATCTGCTTTGGGAGTAAGTTAATTCAAGGTGTTGGTTATGACCATTAAAGCCCTACATGACATGGACCAGCTTACCTATAGAACCATCTTCATTACATTACATCAGCCGTTGCCCCAGCCCAGCTGCACCGTGCATGCACGCATGCCTCCCGCCGGCCAGCTGGTCTTTGGGACTCTGCCGCGCGTGGGGTGGGGCACATGCATGGGAGGGCAGGGCACACGTGCTGGGGTGCAGGAGACTTTCCAAGCCCAAAATGAGGCACCGGGGGTGGGGGGCTCGTGCACGCTTTGGGTACTCAGCACCAAAAAGGTCACTGCCCTAGCCTGTTCTTTCAAGTCTCCCAATGGTGCACTTTTTGCCATCATAACTATCCACTTTGCTGCTGATTTTCCTTTTCCTTCCCCTCCCCTCTCTTCCCTCTTTCCTAGCATTAGAATCTTTTCAGACAGTTGGGTCTTTGCATAAGGTGTCAAAAGTGAGATATTCTCCATTGTGGATGGAGACAGGAGACAGGCATGAGTTGTATTCGTCTGCACAGATTGAAGGACTGAGTCTGTCATAATTGTTAAATCCCGCTCTTATTGCTAGGAGCTTCCAGCTTCTGACTCAATCCTTCAGACTGGACAGACATGTGGGACTGTCTCTCTGGCTTCAATCACCTTTCTATTCGCCTCTCTTCTCACCTTTGGACTTTAGAAATTGGACTGTGTTTTGCCTCTTCAACTTGTGAGTGACAGGGTTGATTCCACCTTTTGTGGATTAAGTAAAATAATTTGAGTCTGTGCCTTGAGATGATTTGTGCCTTGAATAAGAACACTTGGTTGATTTGTTGATTGATCAATTAATATATTTTCTTGGCTATCCATTATATTCCCAGGAATTTTTGAAGTCTTTGTTAGTTCTTCTATCCTGATTCTTTAAAGTCCACCTTTTGCTTTCATTGTCACAGGGAATACCAGGGCTTCTATGATTCTGATTATTGTAAGTATAGACACATCACAGCATTTGAATATCTTTTCCAAGGCCTTGAGGGCTGTAATGTATTTCTTGACTGCTGTAGTCTAGTTCAGTGTTACGGTCCTGTGCATACAGTTTGGTTAGTGGTAAAAACAAAATTCAAGAGTTTGCATGCTGTGGTGTGTGTGTGTGTGTATGTATTGTCATTATTGTTATTGTTATTGCCATGGTCCTTTAATCAATCTTGCTTCTTGGTGACTATATAGAAGTGGTTTTACCAGTACCGTCTCCCTAAGGCTGAGAGACCGTGATTGCTCTAATGTCCCCAAGCTGGCTTTCATGCCTAAAGGAGGACTAAAACTTGGGTTTCCCCAATTGCGATTATGTGATTGGGGGATGCTGTGATGGCTCTAACTATGAGGACCATAGGTTCCTCTCATTAACTGCCATAATAGCATTTATTTATTTATTTATTTATTTATTTATTTATTTATTTATTTATTGGTTCGATTTATATACCGCCCTTCTCCGGAGACTCAGGGCGGCTTACAATGCGTTAAGCAATAGCCTTCATACTTTTGTATATACCTGCTTAGTAGGGCTTTCGGCCCCCCCTAAGCGGTGTTCTTTTTTATACAAAGTCAGCTTATTGTCCCCACAATCTGGGTCCTCATTTTACCTATCTCAAAAGGATGGAAGGCTGAGTCAACCTTGAGATTTGAACGTGCAGTAATTGCAGGCAGCTGGTGCTACTTAACAGCACTTTAGTCTGCTGCGCCACCAAGGCTCGTTTTCCACCAAGGCTCGTTGATGACTTCCAAATGAGTGGACTTTAAACAAGGACTACCTATATTAAATATATTGATAGGTATTGTTGTCTAAGGAGATTCTTAGTCATTCAGGTCATGGTTTCCCAAAAGGTACTTTTTCAAGAAGGCAACTGACTTTCTTGTTTTTCTTTGACAATGTTTTGCTTCTTAGCCAACAAGCTTCTTCAGCCCTAACTGGATGGGGAATGGAAGGATTTATAGTCCTTGCAGACAGGTGGTCATTTGCATTCTTTTAGAAAATCGTTGAGGCCACTTTGGAGGCTTATCTGTGTGTTCAGGGTCAGCTGAGTAGTGCAAATGGATGTGGAGCCTTCTTGGAACTGTTGACATTATTTTATTGTTGTTTTATTTTGGTTGTTTTCTAATCTGCTGGTCAGAGTTGCACTGTTTGACTTGGGTGGCCGTAATCACTCACAGAGGCAGTTCTTTTTCTAAAGAAAAATGTCTTAGCTCCTCTATGAGATCATTTGGAAAGATAACTTTCTAAAAGTTAAATTAGATGCCAAATTCTTTCCCCACTTTTGGATAATGATTCTTTTTCTATGAAAATCCAAGAGAAGATACATAGACTATAAGGGTTGAAAAACAGTGTAAAGTGTTTTGGGTGGCAACGCCGGCAGGAACCGCTTGCGCCTGAAACGTGATGCTCTTTTTTTTGCCTCCGCACGCCCCGTTTTTGAAATTGGGGAGAAAAGTGTTTTCGGGTGACAGTGTAGTGGGTGTGTGGCAGGTGCTGTCACCCAAGAACACTTTCCTCCCCAATTTCAAAAATGGGGTGTGTGGAGGCAAAAAAATGAACATCACATTTTTGGGCAATTCCAGGTGGCGATCGCAGCAACAGTGTTTTCGGGTAGCAGCGCCTTGCCTTACGCCCCCTGTGCAGCGCCCCTTTCGCCAACCGAGTCCCGACCTCTGCGCTTCCCCAGGCCGCTTCCGGAATCAGGCTCCAACCGAGGCACAAAAGCGCAGGGAAGCCCAGCACTGTGTTTAGAGATGTCAGCGTCCAGGAGGACTGAAGTGTTGCATCTCTATCAGGCCTTGCTGCAAGAAAGCCAGACTTTCAAGGCCTACGGCTATAGGTAGGAAGATGGAGGCGTCTCAAGAGTGGAGCCTTCGGTACCAAGTCCCTCTTCTGCCCCCATGAAAATCATCCCCCATCCCACCCACTCCAGTTAAATGTGCGTAGAATGATAGGATTTGTTTTAAACGGATAAAAAGATCTGTGCTACTCATTATCAAAATCCAAGTGGAAATGAGGATCCCTGCCACCTGGAACTGCGGGAAAATGCGAGGCGTGGAGGCCGACAACCTCCGAAGGGTGGGGACCAGCGGGTGGGCGGGGCTACATTCGGTGTATAAGATGCACCCAGATTTTCACCTTTTTTGGGGGGAAATGGTGTGTCTTATACTCCGAAAAATACGGTGCTAAAATTAGATGGTAAATGTAATAAGAAAATTTCTTCAAACATATAAAAAATTCTATTTGGGTGGGATTCTTGGTTCTTCAATAGAGTGATTGATACAACTTACATGAAACAACTGCTAAGAAAGAAGTTCTATTTTTGTGAACACAGAAGTGATAGCACAAGCACTGAAAAACGAATTGAAATACTTTTAAAAAGCATGCTAACTTGTCACATTCTACAGTCTTCTAAGAATAGTCTGTTGATTTTTTACTTTGTTAAATGTTTAAGAATTAATTCCTAAAAATAATCCTTGAAACTTTTTACAGGTCCTTTTACAGATGTAGTCACCACGAATCTTAAACTACGAAATCCATCAGAGAGAAAAATATGCTTTAAAGTAAAGACTACAGCACCTCGTCGATACTGTGTGCGGCCAAATAGTGGAATTATTGACCCAGGAACTTCAGTAACTGTATCTGGTAAAAATATTAAATACAATTTTATTCCTTTTTGGGGCTTTTTTTATTTATAGAAGGTATTGAATATTTAGGTAGTGCATAATAAAAAACTAATAAATGATATATTTATTATTTGAATCATTAAAAATATCAGATGAAACTAACCACATTATTATTTGTTGACATTTATACTACTTATACTCTGCCTAATAGTTTGATTAAGAAAATAATCTTGATTTTTTATTGGGAGGGTTAGTTGGGATATTGGATATAGCGATCTTTTCTAGGTTTCTATGGACCAGTCGCACTAGCTTTTGCTCCAGAATAAGTGTTAATTAGTAAGAGGGCACAAATACAAAAAAATTCAAGCCAGTTTATTTATTCACTTGTACCTTATCAAAGCTCTAAAAACACTAACTTAGTTTGATATAATGAATTCCAAATAGGAGCAGAGAAGGAAGTTTTAAAGAAAGATACAGATAACCACCTTATGCTTCCTCAATGAACCCCTACATCCCCAGGCACCAATTAAGATTTTTTTGGGGGAAATAACATTTAATTCACCTTCAGGAAGAAGAAAACCTACTAGGATAATAATATCTATCTATCTATATATATATACATATTTACATGATATGAATTTCTCACCCCAAATAATCTATTGTGAATTGGACGCACCATTTTAGATTCGCCAAGAAAAATAGAAGTCACTGGGTTGAGTGTTGAGAAGGACTGCTTGTCTGGCACATTTAACCTAAACAAATATCTCCATTTTCCTTCCCTTGATGCCTCTTTCCCCTTATCTATATCCAGTTTTTCTCCCACTTTTTGTTTCTCCTTTTTAGTGCAGTTGCCCCTTCCTCTCTTCTTCCTATCAGTTTTTTCCCTTTCCTCTGGAGAAAAAAACCAAATGAAAATCTATACAGAGAAAACTTAGTTGTATGAGAGATAATAGTTGGTATAGGCAGATAGGGTTTAATTGATTTCATAAAAGAAGCATCTTACTTTACAGGCAATTATAGTTTTACAGGAATTAATAAATTTCTATAAAATAGTTATTAAATCAGTGTGTTTATGTGTGTGTATATGTGTGTGTGAGAGAAATTTGGAAGTCAATTTATCTACAGTGTTTGTGGCAAATATATATGCAGATGCACATATGCCTACTCATAAACAAGTTGTCATTTGCATACATTTATTTGGAATTAGAGTGTCCATGCTTTACTGTTGATGGTTGACCCTAAAAGGCGAAAGCTATCCACCAGTTTGAGCTGGAATTGGCAGTCTTTAGGATGACAAGAAGAAGAAGCCGTGCATTGCCAAAACCTGGGTCTGAATTTATAATTCCTTTATTTTATGTTCCTTTGGGGAGAGATCAGTTTAAATTAAGAATTGTCATCCTTTCAGGCAAACACATCATTATAATGTTGCTAGTGCTTTATCAACCTGTTCTCTACAGATCCACAAGGTGGTGCTACTAGCATTTTCTTAATCCTTGTTTTAGGAGAAAAATTATTCTGGATAGTGTACTGTGATTTCATGCTTTTCTACTATAGCTGCCTTAATATTTTAGTTGTTGTTAAAAATAGTTTTGCCTTTAGAGAATAATGAAGATATTCTCCTCAGCGTAAGGAACGTCTGTCAGACTGGGTTATGGACTCCACTATGCAGCCTATGACCGAGTCTGCGGATTTAAATAACTCCGCCCTCTCCTGGATGATCCCCAGTGTTTCGACTCGGTCCTATGCTGGACAGTGGTGTCTTTCTGGACCCAGTCTGTTTCCAACGTATTTTCCGCTATTTTTACCTCTTTTTTATTTTCTTTCCTCTCAAATTCGGCTGTTATTCAATTTGGACGCTTTAAGAATTTTTTTTTTTTTTCCTTTCAATCGCATCAGCGGCGCGAAGGGTCCTTACTCGATACCGGCCGCAGCCGCTTTTGCGGCAAGGGGGCTGCTTGCCGACAGCCCCCTGAGGGGTTGGAGCTCAAATTTCCCCCTCAGTCTCCCCTTACCATCGGGAGACAAATAGCTGCTTCTTAACGGCATTCGCCTAGCAGCTTGATCGGCGCCGTTTTTTTCTGGCGGGCTTTTCAAACGGCGCCATTATTTTCCTGCCGCCCTGACTGCCTTGAGCAAGCGGCTTGCCTCCTTCGCACGGACGGTTTTCCAGGAGCCTACCAGCAGCGGACCTGCCTCCCCCTCACTCATCGCCGGAGCTTCATCGTCTTAGAGGTTTGAGATCTCCAATCGCTCAGGGGCCCCCGGCGGTGCGCGCTGACCCATTTTAAGATGGCGGACGCCTCTCATCACCCTCGTTCTCGCTCCGCTGCTACCAGGTCCCGACATCGACATGTTAGCGATCCGGGGGAGGGTCCCAGCAATCAAAACCGCCCGAGCAAAGCCCCATCTAAAACAACATCATCCTCCTCTGGCCTAACCAAGCCCACCAGGGAGGAACTTAGGAGGCACAGGGCATTGGAAAAAGCGGCTCTCAAGGCTCAACAGCAGCCTGCCGCCATTTTGTCCCGCACGTCGGCCATTTTACCTCCTGGGCCCTCTCCTCCTGCGCCTCAATCTACCATGGCCCGTTCCGATCGGGACCTTTCTCCTGATCGCCCTTCATCTCGGGGTCCCACGTCATCGGAGGCAGAACAGGTTTTCCAGACTCTTCCGGATCCCTCTGATACTCTGGCGCAGAGGAGAGACACTACACCTGAGCCCTCTTGCCAGCCTTCCGGGCATGGGTCTTCTCAGGCCAGCGCAGGGAGCGTTTCCCACACAGATCCCCATGCTGCCTTGGAGGCCATCATAGCCAGAGCCATTCAACGGGGGCTCTCTCAAGGACTGCAACAAGGCCTCCTTCAGCCTCCCCCGCCCATTCCTGGAGCCCAATCTCGCCGGGTCCACTCTGGAGACCGCCAGGAACACCTGTCTTCTCCTGAGCAATCGGACCATGGTTCCCTCTCCGAGGAAGAGGAACCTCGGGATCAGTCTCTTTCTGACGACGAGGGCCTCGCTCCGGACCAGCCCGCTTTTGTTGGCCTCTTTAGGCCCCAGTTATTCCGTTCCTTATTGTTTAAAGCTCTAGCAGTCACAAGACTGGGGTCTCCCAATGTCTCGGGGTCAACATCACAGGTGTCCTCTGATCCAGCCTCATCCTTATTTGCTGAACCAACGGTTGAACCAGAACTCATTCCGGCCCCCAAGCTTTTTACGGATATTGTCCAACGACAATGGACCTTACCTGGTTCGGCCCCGGCACCCAATGGTTTGGATAAGCGATTGTACCAAACCGCTCCTGCTCTTTCGGACCTTCTACAGGTTCCTCCCGTGGACGCCCCCGTCGCAGCCTTGGCTGCTCCTTCCAGGCTTCCCAGCTCTCCGGAAGAATCTCTGCGACCCGAAGACAAACGGGCGGAGAAGACTCTCATCAAAGCTCATCAATCCGCAGCATGGGCAGTCAAAACCGCAACGGCCGCTTCCTTTTTTAATCGAGCCTCTCTGCTTTGGCTAAAACAATTACAAGACAGGTTACCACCTTCGGACTCTCGTACACACCAAGATTTAAACAAGATAGTCGCCGCCTTAGAGTACTCGGCAGACGCCACATTAAATTCTGCACGATTTTCAGCCAAATCCATCGGCTCCACAGTAACGTCACGTCGCCTTTTATGGCTCCGCCATTGGCAAGCGGACGCCAAGAGCAAGTGGCAACTAGCTTCTTCTCCTTATTCATCTTCTTCTCTCTTCGGTCCTCCCCTGGAACCACTTTTGGTGGAAACCAGAGACCACCGCAAGATTCTCCCGTCTGTCTCTCGTCGTTCCAACTCGCGGTTTTCTCCTTACCACCGGTCTCAGTCATTTCGACCTCAAGACTCCGGCTTCTCCCAGCCTCGCTTTCAACGTTCCTTTCAATCCCAGCCTTCCCAGGACTCACAGGTTAGACAGGGCCCTAGGCCCTTCCAGAAACGTTCCTTTCGAGGAGGCAGGGGCAGATCGTTTAGACGGTCCAAGTGAGGTTCACCTGGAAGCTCCCATTGGCGGTCGCTTAACCTTATTTGCCGCTCAGTGGGCTTCCACGACTTCGGACTCTTGGGTTTTACGTACGGTTCAGTTTGGTCTTTCTCTTGAATTCTCCTCCCCTCCCCCCTCGGTTTTTATCTCTTGCCCAGTCTCTAGGGACAGGGTCCGGAGATCCCTGGTTTCTCAGGCTATTTCCCACTTAGTTACCATCAAGGCCATACAACCAGTACCTCCCGACCAGCATGGCCTTGGGTTTTATTCCCGGTTGTTTATAGTTAGCAAATCCTCTGGGGGGTGGAGGGCTATCTTAGACTTAAAGGCTCTTAACCGTTACATTGTGTATCACAAATTTAAGATGCACACTCTCCATACTATCCTGGAAACCATTCGCCCCGGGGACTTCTTGTCTTCCATAGACCTAACGGAGGCTTACCTCCATGTCCCCATTCACCCGGATTTCCGTAAATATCTCCGCTTTCACTACCGGGGGCGACACTTCCAATATTCTGCACTCCCTTTTGGACTTTCTTCAGCCCCCCGTGTCTTTACTAAGATCATGGCGGCTCTCGTGGCACACATTCGCTCCCTCCCCATACGAATCCAATTTTACCTCGATGATATTCTTCTGCAATCTTCTTCATTCAAGGAGGCCCAATCCGATTTGGCCACTTCCATCCAAATTCTCCAATCACACGGGTTCTCCATTAACTGGACCAAAAGCCATCTGGTCCCTGCCACTTCTATCCAACATTTAGGGGCTGTCATAGATACAGTGAGGTCTACAGTTTCCCTCTCCTTGGACCGCCAGGACAGCTTGCGCTCGCTTGCCCGCCGCTGTATGGCAGATCGATCAGCCTCTCTCCTTAGTCTCTCTTGCCTTCTGGGCAAGATGATCTCTACTTACGATATAGTGCCGTGGGCCCGTCTCCACAGTAGGGAATTACAATGGTTCCTGCTCCCCCATCAACGGAAGCGATCAAGTACGTCCCTCATCAGAGTACCTATAGCCCCATCCGTCATATCCTCCCTCAGGTGGTGGACGTCCTCGGCCTTGTCAGGAGCTTGCTGCTTCAGGGAAACACCGCGAGTAATAGTCACCACGGACGCGAGCCTCCAGGGCTGGGGAGCTCACCTGACACATCACATGGCGCAAGGTCAGTGGTCATCTTCAGAGCAACTTCTTCCAATTAACCTCCTGGAACTAAGAGCCATCCGTCTAGCCTTGCTTCATTTCCGAGACCTTATCGTGTCTCGTGACGTCCTTGTCCTTACGGACAACGTTACGGCGAAGGCTCACGTTAATAGACTGGGAGGCACCCATTCCCGAGCGCTAATGGACGAGACCCTGCTACTTGGTCTCTGGGCTGAGTCTCACCTTCACTCCCTTCGTGCAGATCATATCTCCGGGATGGAGAATTCGCAAGCGGATGCTCTAAGCAGACGTCGGCTGGACAACGCGGAATGGAGCCTCCCCCCTTCTCTCTTCAAGGAGATCACGACACGCTTCGGGTTCCCAGAAGTGGACCTTTTCGCATCGCAGGCCAATCACCAGGTTCCGAGGTACTTCTCTCGGTTCTGGGATCCCGGGGCGGAAGCCACGGACGCTCTTCGTAGCCCTTGGCCTCCCGGTCTCTTATATGCCTTCCCCCCCTTTCCGTTACTTTCCAGGGTGCTCAGGAAGATCCTTCAAGAGCAAGCGGAAATCATTCTCCTCGCGCCCCGCTGGCCCCGGAGACACTGGTACTCGGACTTGATCTCCCTATCTGTCGCTCGGCCGTGGTCTATTCCGGCCAACCAGATTGCCCTCGTCCAGGGTTCCCTTCGCCATCCGGATCCGGCATGGTTCCACTTAACCGCGTGGAGGCTGAGCGGTTCCTCCTGCAAGAGGCCAAGGTCCCCTCGTCCGTGATAGACATCATCTTAGCTTCCCGCCGGCCTTCTACTGTCAGGATCTACAACTCCACCTGGGCCTCCTTCTCCTCTTGGTGCCAGCGCGCTCGTGTTAATCCCCTTTCTGCTTCAATCCTGGACGTTTTACTTTTTCTCCGGGAGGGATTTGCTGCCGGACTATCTCCAAACACCCTCCGGAGGCAAGCTGCCGCCATCTCTACGGTTCTGACTTGCGGCTCCGCATCCTCGATTTCCCGGCATCCTGTCGTCCAACAATTCCTGCGAGGAGCTGCAAATTTAAGACCTCCTCCCGTTCATCGCTTCCCTACTTGGGACTTGAACAAGGTCCTCTCAGCTCTTACGGCTTCCCCCTTCGAGCCTCTTCGAGACGTCTCGCTCCGTTTCTTGTCATTCAAGGTCTCTTTTTTGGTCGCTATCACCTCGGCCCGCCGCATTTCGGAGCTTGCGGCTCTGTCATCTCGAAGGGACCTCTGCGTTTTTCACCAGGACAGGGTAGTCCTCCGACTGGACCCTTCCTTCATACCCAAAATCAATTCCCCCTTTCATCGCTCACAAGAGTTGGTCCTACCCAACTTCTGCCCGTCCCCTCAGCATCCCTTAGAACGCTCATGGCACACGCTTGACGTGCGTCGTGCTCTCAAAATATACCTGAGGCGCACTTCCTCCTTTCGGAAGACAGAGGCTTTATTTGTCTCTTACCAACCCGCTTCTATCGGGGCCAAGGCATCTGCTCCTATGTTGGGTCGTTGGATCCGCGCTACAATATCGACGGCCTACCAAAGACAATCCTTGCCTGTACCTCACCACGTCACTGCCCACTCCACCAGGAGCGCGGCGACCTCTGCTGCATGGGCGACCCAGGCTTCGTGGGAAGAAATCTGCAGAGCTGCCGCCTGGTCGAGCATCTCTCCCTTTATTCGCCACTACCGGGTGGACTCGTTTGCTTCTGCGGATGCGGCCTTTGGGCGCAGAGTTCTCCAGACGGTCCACTCGACTTGAGGTAACAGGGCCCTTGATCTTCCCTCCCAGCGGACATTCAGCTTTGGTATGTCCCCAGTCTGACAGACGTTCCTTACGCTGAGGAGAATGGACGTTGGACTTACCTGATACGTCCGTTCTCTCTTAGTAAGGAACGTCTGTCAGCCCCACCCTTCTGCCGTGCCCTGTTCCCGGGGGTGGGTGGTGTTCTCTTACCTCTCTTTTGTATTTTCCAGAAAGACACCCCAGTCTGCGTCTACGCCCTCGCCGAAACACTGGGGATCATCCAGGAGAGGGCGGAGTTATTTAAATCCGCAGACTCGGTCATAGGCTGCATAGTGGAGTCCATAACCCAGTCTGACAGACGTTCCTTACTAAGAGAGAACGGACGTATCAGGTAAGTCCAACGTCCATTTTATAATATAAACATTAGTTAATAAATATGTCACCTTTTGTTTTTGTAGTACATTACATGTTTCCTCCCATTGGCAATATTTTTTAGTTAAGGTGGAAAAGATTTTTTTCAGTATTCTAATATAAATAATAAAAGAAAGCAAATATTAATTATATTTTGCTAAATTATGGCAGATGTCCTTGAACTCGTCATTGACATATCTTTGTCTATTCTTCTGAAATGTTTAAGGTAACTAGGTTAAAGTAAGCATGATAATTATGAGTAAATATACAAAGCAGTTTCCCCCTCTGCCATTTTTGTAGCTACCAAAGACTTACAGGGAAAGTCTCTGTCAATCTGGTAAGGTCAGTTCTAGGTAGAGAAAATCTAACTCTATTAATCTCTACTTAGATAGGCAAAGTACATACAACTTAATCAAAATAAATATATCATGTTCAATGTATTACAACTCTTCTATCTAAAGGGTAGTTGTAACAGGATAATGCTGTAGGTTCAAATGAATTTTGCTGACTGGAGCTGTCCCATATTTAACAGGAGGCTGGAGAGATGGAATTTTTTTTGTAGGTACATAAATGGCAAAATTGTATCTTCAGTATAGAGTGTGTGGGGAATGAATAAGGGAGTAATTGTCCTAGTGAAGAAACATACTGAGACTTATTCTTACAGTTTTGCATTTGTAGATTGTGGTGAGTGAGAAGGTATAAAATATTACCTGGATTGAGTTTTCAGTGATGTGGATGTGTTTGTTTTCTTGACTGTTCATGGTATTTCTCATGAGTAGACATTAAAACTTTAGCATTTAAACTAATTTACTAGTCGCTGGATTTTTTTTAGAAGAAAACACTAGCAATAGGTCATAAATGGCTAATACCTTGCTAGGTGAATTCATCTAATAATTATATCATCATCATCATCATCATTATTATTATTATTATTATTATTATTATTATTTGCTTTGGAAGGCTCAATTGGTCCTTATTTAATTGTAAAATAAGAGTTGTAATGTGAATTGTTCAGATTTGGCTCAGTGTGATATATGAACTAATCTCAAGTAATAAACTTTGGTTTACAATATATACTTTCAGATAAGCCAAAATAAATACTTTGGATTGTTTTTTAATTGCTGTATGTGAATGTGTATGTGAACCAGGTGTAATACTTTCTGCAGGGCAAAATGTATCCTGTTTAGGCAAATGTTTATATGAGCTCTGTTTTTATCTGTTGAAGCTATCCAGCCTTTTGGGAGGAAGAGTATTTTGTTTTATCTTTACTTTGCTTTCCAATGGTTACTGAGAACAACAAGTGCACATTGTTGTATAAAATAAATAAATTGGCTGAGAAGTAGTCTTCTCAGATTCTTCATAAAATGTGTACTAAAAAGCTCTATTCAGTGCAATATGTGTTGAGTTCTATTTATGTAATAAGATTCATTTCTCCATCATCTATACTTACAAAATGACTAGTTCATTCTATCCTCAACAGAAATCCCCCACCAGCATTTTTGGACTCTAATTTGAGAGCTACTGATCATCTTTAATGTACTTCAGAACATTGAATACAATGTATAACAAAAATTTCCTTATTTCTTAATGGAACTACAGTTTATTTGTCTTCTCTGAATTTATATTCATTTGAGACTAGAAATTATTAAATTAAAGATGACAAATATTTGAAATAATACTTTATTTTTCAAACTATAAAGTCTAGCTAATTACAAGAAAATAAGGATCAGCTGATATGTAATAAAAGAATTTGGTTATTGAAAAAACTTCAAAGTATACACTGTATTTTCTGAATTTAAAATAAAATTAAAAGTTCACAAGAAAAAGTTTGCAAACTTTTATATAATACAAACTTTGTCTATTATGCAGTTATGTTACAGCCTTTTGATTATGATCCAAATGAGAAGAGTAAACATAAGTTTATGGTACAGACGATCTTTGCCCCTACAAACATTACAGATATGGAAGCAGTGGTACGTAAATATCTACAATTTCAGTTTTTAAATAAAAGGACAGATATGAATTCCTTTTCAGGTTTTTTGAAATCAACCCCCTTGGACTTCCTTTTGTTTCATATATCTCAAAGCTTTTCCAACTTCTCTGAATCTGTGTTGTAATCTACAATATTACAACTTTGCAGTCTCCCTCCTGCTGGGAATGTGCCTGTCAAATTTCTTTCCTAATAAAAGAATTCATAAGTATATATTGTCCATCATCTTAGAAATAACCTTGTGTGGGCAGTTAAACTTAAAATTATGTGGTAGCACATATAATCAAATATGTATTTCTGCACATGACACTTCCTCTTCTCAGCATAGCCTGAATATAGGCATCTTTATTGATTTTATTCAGTGTAGGTTCATTTTACATCTGAATTAGGAGATTGTTACATCTCTGACTAGATTTCAAACCATGGCTTCAGAAATAAGCTTACCAGTATTCTGGTATTTGTAGCTTTTTGGTTCAAATGTAAAGGGAAACTGACTATTCAAAACTACAAAAAATATTGATGCTTGATGAGGAATGATTTATATATCACAAGGATTAAGGTCTAGATTTCCTACTTAAAGACCAATTGCCTGCTAAGCCATGCTAGTTCTTGAAAATCAGTATGCAAAGCAGAGTTTATACATTATAAAAATTTATTTGACAACATCTAGTAACATAATTAATGTTTTTCATTGTTGTCATAGTGGAAGGATGCAAAATCTGAGGAATTAATGGACTCCAAATTGAGATGTGTATTTGAAATGCCTAATGAAAATGATAAACTGGTAAGTAAAAGATATATTGAAAAGTTCATGTTCTGCCTAGATCTTTTGCATATTGTTAAATATAGAGATTATAATTAGTGCTTTAATAAAATCTCTAAAGCTTTCCAGTCTTTTTTCTAATGTAAAAATACCGTGCTTTTGTAAACTTTTAATCACGCTACTTTTATGTTAACATATGTTGTAAATTTAGTCAAAGTAAAAATTGGCTTGGAATCAATAAAGCCATTTAGCCTGTGTAATAAGCGCAAGTTTATAATTTGTAAAAATGGGTACATCTCAAAAGAAAACAAGAGACATGGATATGCAGAAGAAGAAATAAGAAATAACTACTGGAAGTGATAAAAGAAATTTGATCCTATTCAGTTTTCTTGAAAGAATGAAGGTTCTTGAGATTTACACCCAGAGTGGTGAAAGTCAGTTTGTGAATTATCAGCAATTCTGAACCACCTTTATAACTATCTATAATTCTGAACTATTGTATAGTGTGATCAGAGCTTCATCTAAGTCCTGTAATAGATAAAAAAGATTCTGGTGAAACTAATAACATCCAGTGTTATATCCTGCTTATTAGCACGTTGATCTGGCATTCGGTGTATTTGATGGGAAAAGTACATGATGTCCTATTTCAATTGAGTAAATTAGGTCCGGGAGATAACAGTGAGATGTGACCCTCCCCTGTTTAAAAAAAGTATACATTGTGTTATTTGCCATACTGGTTATCTTCATAGCACAGGTTTATGGAAGTGAACTATGTATCCATCAAAAGAAAACTTGATTTCAGAAAAAGGATTTGCTGATACTCATGAGCTGGAAAGGGTACAGAATCATTGTCAAAACTCCCATCAGGTCACAGGCAGATAATTACATTTTATTGTTTTTACTTCGATTTCTTGTAAGCTACTCAGAGTTGGGTGGCATGCAAGTTTAAACATTATTATTAGTATCCATAGTAGTAAGTATTAATAAAAAGGGGAGGGAAACTGTGTGGATGCTCCATCACTGGAGGTTTTCAAGAAGAGTTTGGAATTTGTACCATTTGTTCAGAATGGTATAGGGCAGTGATGGCGAACCTTTTTGGCACCAAGTGCCCAAACCAGAATGCGCGTGTGCTGGAGTGCCAGAAACCAAAGATCAGCTGGCTGGCGAGTGCATGCCTGCTTTTTGGGCTTTTTAGGCTGTTTTTGGGTCATTTTCAGGCCATTTTTCAGCAATTTTAGGTTAGTTTTCGGCCCAAAAAACAGGCTGAAAAGGCCCTGGAAAACATTTTTCAGGCTGTTTTCCAGATCAGCTGGCCGGCGTGCATGTGCATGCCGGGAACCAGAAGAGCAGCTGGCAACGGTGTGCGTGCCCACAGAGAGGGCTCTATGTGCCACCTCTGGCACGCGTGCCATAGGTTCGCAATCACGTGTATAGGGTATCCTGCTTGAGCAGGAGATTGGGTTAGAAAATGTCCAAAGTCCCTTCCAACCCTATTATTCTATGTTATAGCATACTACTACTTTACTACTGCTACTAATGCTTGTTATTGTTAACAATTTTTGAAGTAGTAGGATTATACTCAAGGTACTTGGGAACTGCATGCCACAGCAGTGGTCTCAGACTGTATACTTCTGTTTTAAAATATCCAGGAAATATTAGGCCATTTGTTTACCCTAAATGGAAGTTTACATTTTAAATTATTTTAACATTGTTTTATTAGTTTGTTCTATTTATAAGCAGTTCCTTTATTATTAAGCTTTATTCTATAAGGAAAGCCACAAAATAGGCATGCTTCTTAATATGGCATACTTGCGAGGCAGCCCTCAGTTTTTTGTCAAAATATTGCTTTATAGAAAGTGGATGAGAAGACCTAGTTAAGGAGATTTAAACTTGAAAAAAGGAGGAATTTCCTTATCTTGAAAAATATTAAACAGTAGAAGAGCCAGTTTCTTGGAGTGCTCCATCACTAGAGGTCTTCAAGCAAAGATTGGATGGTCATTGGTCTGAGAAGTCTAGGATGATATAGGTGAGGGATGGATTAGAACCTTTAACCGTTGGTTTAGTCATTCCTTTAAGCCTTGCAGTGAGAGATCTGAGTGCTGAGGGTATGTCTTACCTGCCATCTCAGGTTTTATCTTCATCAAGCTCTGTATACATAACTCCAGCCAACAGAAACTTTCTTCAGGAACCTGCAAATAATAGGCAGAAGATTGACATGGAACCAGGCAGTGAGGTCAATCACAAGATGGATCAGGTTTGTTGAGGGAGTTGAAAGCTTCAAATTTTTCTAGTTCTAAAGTGGTTCATTGCAGCTAGCTAAGAAAAATATCAAAAGAGGCTCAAAGTCAAGGATGTTCAGTTCAGTCAAAGTGAAAACCAAGCTACATTATTAAGTTTATTTTCTATTGCATACCTTTATGTTCAGAATTTTCATCATTTATATTCCTGTGAAATTTGGACTGCTTCAAATTTCTAGGATTGAGATGCATAGGAAGGAGACAAAATGAAATACATCGCTTAGAAGAGGCAAAATTGATAATTAAGAATTAAGGTAGAGCCAGTGGGGAACTTTTCTACAAGCCGTGTTCAGCAACTGGAATCAGCCCAAATGGTGTTGGACTAGTTGGGATGATATTTATCTGTTAAATAAACAGTGATAAGAACAAGGTTTCTACAAGTTCATACAACCCTCTTGCTTTCTTGTTTTCTGGTGAAATTAAACCCAGGACTCTTCAGATAAGGAGGAATTTCCTTATCTTAAAAAATATTAAACAGTAGAAAAGCCAGTCTCCTTGAGTGTTCCATCACTGGAGGTTTTCAAGCAAAGAGATTGGATGGTCATTGGTATGGGAAGGTCTAGGGCTGTGATGGCTAACCTTTTTTGCCGTCACGTGTCAAAAGCAGGGGGAATGTGGGGGGGGGTCACACACACACGTGCCCACACTCATAATTCAATTCCTCCCTGTGTCCCACCCCCCCTGCACATGCACGTGTGACACCCCCCCTGCGCTCCCCCCACTTTTGGCACACGACAGCAAAAAGTGGGCCTCCCCAGGCTTCAAAGGCTTTCTTGGAGTATGGGGAGGGCTGAAAATGGCCTTTCCCACTCCTCTGGAGGCCGGAAACAGTCCATTTCCTGACTTCTGGTGGGCCCAGAAGGCCCAAAAACCAGCTGGCTGGCACATGCACGCATGCTGGAGCTGAGCTAGGGCAACTCTCATGTGCCCACAGATATGGCTCCGCGTGCCACCTGTGCACCCGTGCCATAGGTTCGCCATCAGGGGCCTAGGGTGATATAGATAGAGGATAGATTAGAAGATCTTCCTTTACATTTAATTTAAGTTAACGAGCTCAAGAATATGTGACTATTTACTCAATAGTAAATAGAATATTACTAGAATATTTACTCAATTTACAAATACAGGTAATCCTGAATTTATGACTGGCCTCTTTGCAATGGGTTCACTTTTTTGGGAAAAAACGGGACGAAAAAAGCCTCTAAAACAGTCTGAAATAAGCCTTGAAAATGGGCTGAAAAAAGCCTCTAAAACGGGCCGGAAAAAGCCTCAAAAACTGGTTGAAAAAAGCCTGAAAATGGGCCTGAAAAAGGCCAACAAAAGGCCCGAAAACGGGGCGTGCTGAGGCCAAAAAATGGCCGGCGGGTGGGCAGGGCTTCAGCAATATTCAGTCTATAAGACACACAGACATTTTCACCCCCTTTTGGGAGACAAAACACTGTCTTATAGTCAAAAAAATACGGTATTTATGAGTGTGCTGAATGTTCATTCAGTCTGGTAAATAACACATCTGACTATGTGAGGAAAAGTAGTTCAAGCAAAAAAGTCTTTTTTAAAATAAAAATCAGCCCAAATTAGGGTGCTTATGTTTATAATATTATAAATTAATTTTTCTGCAAGATCATTAGAGCTGCAAACAGCCAGAATGGAGTTTGCTATTTAAGTTTGTGGTAGTTTACTTTAAGTTATTTGTACATTTGGAAACAACTTTTTTTTGCTCCAAAATTATTTATAAAAATGACCTGGATTTAATTTCTACGTAGTTCTGTCTATAGTATATATTATGACTAAATCGTATTATTTTTAGGGCTTAATCCTGCAAAAATGCAATTAGAGTTTTAGTTTTAGTCTATAAAACTCAAGTGTCTAAATACAACTTTTATTTTGTTTGTTCAATGCTTTATAAGCTATTGCTTAACTGCTTGTACATAACATTCATGTTTTTCTAAGTAGCAGAATGGGGTTCCAGACCCTAATCCTTTAGCCGTTGGTTTAGTCATTCCTTTAAGCCTTGCAGTGAGAGATCTCCTGAGTGCTGAGGGTATGTCTTACCTGCCATCTCAGGTTTTATCTTCATCAAGATCTGTATACATAACTCCAGCCAACAGAAACTTTCTTCAGGAGCCTGCAAATAATAGACAGAAGATTGACATGATGGAACCAGGCAGTGAGGTCAATCACAAGATGGATCAGGTTTGTTGAGGGAGCTGAAAGCTTCAAGATTTTTCTAGTTCTAAAGTTGGTTCATTGCAGCTAGCTAAGAAAAATATCAAAAGAGGCTCAAAGTTAAGGATGTTCAGTTCAGTCAAAGTGAAAATCAAGCTACATTATTAGGTTTATTTTCTATTGCATACCTTTATGTTCAGAATTTTCATCATTTATATTCCTGTGAAATTTGGACTGCTTCAAATTTCTAGGATTGAGATGCATAGGAAGGAGACAAAATGAAATACATCGCTTAGAAGAGGCAAAATTGATAATTAAGAATTAAGGTAGAGCCAGTGGGGAACTTTTCTACAAGCCGTGTTCAGCAACTGGAATCAGCCCAAATGGTGTTGGACTAGTTGGGATAATATTTATCTGTTAAATAAACAGTGATAGGAACAAGGTTTCTACAAGTTCATACAACCCTTTTGCTCTCTTGTTTTCTGATGAAATTAAATAAACCCAGGACTCTTCAGTTAACAGTTTACTCAAAGTAGGAAGTAGTTCACAGTTGCTTTGGAGATGGCAGGATTTAAATTATCATGGTTTATTCCAAATCCATTAAATCAGAGGTTCCCTCTTAGTTCATGGTGCCCTTTATGTCTTGGTAATTTTTTCACTGTGCTCCTAGGCTAGCAGTTCGTGCAATGTCTGACAGATGTCAAGTATCACAGGCTTTTCTTCGGAAATTTTAAATACTTTGCAGTGACCCTATGCGTTCAGTGTGGCTCCCCATTTGGGAATTATGACATTAAGCATTATTTCTTTCTTGCTGAAGCAGGAAGTTGTAGAAGTTGTAGTTAATAGAAGATTTTTCTATTTGTTCTGCCACTTAGCATGAAGGGGCAGAATACAACAAAAGATTATTAAGTAAGGTATAATCTTTTGAATGTTGGCTTGATTCACGTGCAAAACCAAGCTATGGCATGATGTTAATGAGAACAGATACTTTTATTCATTTCTAAACTATGTATTTTACTAAGAATAGTTTTTGTGGATTTGCTGTTGTTACTTAAAAAAACAGGCATGTCAAGAACATTGAGTAAAGTAAAGGAAATTGCATGATGTGTGTGTGTGAGAGAGAGAGGGAGGGAGGGAAGGAGAGATGACCCAGGGCACAGCACAGAAATAACACAAACAGCTGGCAGTTCAAACTGTCCCTTTATTGCTCCAAATTTCCCCACATGCTCCCACATTTCTTACAAGTCCCAGAGCAAAGTGATAACAAACCCCCACACAAACCTCAAGCAGCCTCTGGCTTCAATTAGTCGAGCTCAGTGCTGTATACACTGGGGCTACACAGCAATAAATCCAGCAGGACAAATCAAGGAGTTCAGGAAGCAAAAGATCCAGGTAATTAGTTCAGAACGCCAGAAAGAATGCAAGGACTCTTGGAAAGTTCAAATGTTGGCACTCAACACTTCTGGAACTCAATGTTTGTTCCTGACAAATGCCCCTCACCACAGCATCTTCTTAAGTTTCATTCCCCAGGTGTACCTTGTGGAGATGGACAGGGCATTCTTCTCCTGAGTAGTCTGCTCAGTCTGTGCTGTTCACGCCTTCTGTCCACTTTCCAAGCTCTTGGATCAGGAGGGGATGGTTCTTGCTCCTCGCCTGTGTTCTGTCTCTCATGTTCATCCTGTCCCTGTTCCTCCCTGTCTACAAGATGTCCTAATCCTGAAAGGCCCTGGCCTTCCCCATTTTTTTCCGAAGACAACAAAGCCGCCCCCTCTCTGTCTGCTCAGGTTACAGCTCGTCTTCCCCCACAGATTCAGGCTCCAACGGGGGCATGACATATCATATATCACAAAGATGAAAATTTTAGAAAGCTTAATTTTGTGATCGGATTTTCTCCCCCTCACTGCAGTATCTCTGTGTCTGCTCATAAAGCTTAGGGACACAATAGTGGTGGAACACTGGGGAAAAGAAATAACTCCGTCCATGTTCTTTCAGTAGAAACTGGTAATTGCTGGCAGAAAAATGCAAACTTCGTTTATACTGCATCTACTGTGACAAAAATCTGCTCAAAATACTTTCTTGATTCGTGTTGCAGACTGGCCTCTTTTTTTTTTTTAATTTGATTTATATGCCGCCCTTCTCCGGAGATTCAGGGCGGCTTACAATGCGTTAAGCAATAGCCTTCATACTTTTGTATATTTATACAAAGTCAGCTTATTGCCCCCACAAACTGGGTCCTCAATTTACCTACCTTAGAAAGGATGGAAGGCTGAGTCAACCTTGAGCCTGGTGAGATTCGAACTTACAGTAATTGCAGACAGCTGGTGTTAATCAAGGCTATCAGTCTGCTGAGCCACCAGGCCCTTTATTTATGTATATAGCACTTTCTGTGTACATTTAAACCATGCCACTGATGCTTTGATTTAAATGATATGCAATTTATAAATATCCCTCTTCCATCTTTCTTTCCCAGTTTTCAAAGCTACATTTGTTCAAATATCAATGTTGGCTATGACTAGCTTTAAATTTTAATTGGTGGAAGTATAGTTAGAAAATAATAGAAAGAGTGTGGAAGCCTTGAAACATTCTCCTAATCTCTTCAGGAACTTTGTCTCAAATGAGAAATTTCTATCTCTATCTATTTTATCCTTGGGGATAAATGTATTAATTCTTTAGAGATTTATCTTGGAATGAAATGCAGGATGAATATATCATTCTATTGTGCCATCTTATTTTTATAAGTCACTTAAAAATACTTCTTTCGAAACAAAGTTCTGCTTCTCAAACCCCTTTCATAGTTATCTTCTTGGAAATTACCTGCATTTTAAAAAAGTAATAAATGACATTATCATTGAAATACTTATTTTGAATCTGTTTTTTTTTAATATTTCCAGAATGAAATAGAAACAAGTAAATCTGCTCCAATACTGAATGCAACAAAGCAAGATGGTCTGGTGCCAAAATCACATAGTGTTTCGCTTAATGACACTGAAACAAGGAAGCTAGTGGAAGAATGCAAAAGACTTCAAGCAGATATCGTGAAACTATCAGAGGAAAATAGACATCTGAGAGTAAGATACAAAATACATAATAATCTCATCAGTAAAATTGAATTTTACAGATTTGTTCATGAAATACAGTTTTAAAAATTGTTTACATCAAGCTGTTTATAATAGTTTTTCTATGCTGGAAGGATAGAATACTAATCCAGTAAATAATTATGATAAGAATTTTAAGAATTAAGGCAGTTTTAAGAATTTGTTTCAAGAATTAAGGCAGTTAAATTTACTAAAGTGATAAATTAATCACATACAGTACACCTTATATTTAAATATTTTAGGTTGTGCTTCCATTACTCAAGAAAAATAAAAATGTGTTTAAAATGTGCATCAGGTTGTTTTAGTAGTTTAGTAGTCTCTGACTTACAAGTGAATTTAGGCTTAAGTTTTTCTTCTTGAACTTTCTGTAAAGCTGGGATGGTGTTAAAAGCCTAGAAGTTCCTCTGTGCTACCATTTGTAATCCTAAAGCTGAAATAAGTAGTAATGTTTCCAGCAAATCAGTGTTCTCAATTATTTTAAATATTTAATCATACTATTATAGTAATCATATAGATCGGGAAATTTCTTAGTTCCTATTTTCTATTTAAGATTAATATTTTATGCCCCCTTTATGTTAAGTATCACTCTTTAAAGTCAGAATGCATGAATAAATAGTCTATGATAGCATTGAAATACTTCTGTGAAATGTGCCCTGGTTATATTTGAGCCTGATGTGGTCTCGTGATTTTTCCTCTGTTGATTAATTTCTTCCATGTATTTTCAGGATGAAGGCTTGAGGCTGAGAAAGGTGGCACACTCAGATAAACCTGGACCGTCAGGCTTGGCCCTCCGAGATAATGTCTCCAACCCTCTTCCTTCACTCCTTGTTGTAATTGCAGCCATTTTCATTGGATTCTTTTTAGGGAAATTCATCTTGTAGAAAGGGAGAGAGAAGAGAGAGAGAAGCATGCAGAATGCTGCTTCCTTTTTTTTCTTGGCCAGAAAAAAAAAATTACCTACCACTTCATTGGTAGTATGGCCAAAGTGACCATTTTTGTGTACAGCATCATACAGGCTTTGCCTCTAATGATCTTGCACGGTTAGACAACACGATAAAAAGACAAACTGTTCGGCTGCTGGACAAAATTGTATATTAATTCATTAATAGCAGGTGTCAGTTGCACATTCAGTCCTTTATGAAAACTCATAAATAAAGAATTGTTCTTTCTTTTTGTGGTTTTAATAAGAGTTAAAATTGTTCAAAGTCTTGTAAATGTTATTTTAATAATCCTTTTCAAATTTTATCTGTTATTCTTGCCTCTTGGAAAGAATGATTATTAGAATGCTAATTCGCTTGTTCAGGAAAATGATGAGGCATTCTGTGGGGAAATGTTCCTCTTAGTGTATACATTTTTCCCTTCACCTTACTTTGCTGATATCATGGCAGAATTTCTTACCCTTGTGAGGTGGTTGTGGAAGAAAAAAATAATCATCCTGACAGCCCTGTCCCATGGTATTTAACAAACAAAAAAATAAAACTGTTAACAGACTTTCTGATGGGTAGCTTGTTTCTGTGAATTGTTCTTTTAGAAAGATATTACAACATATGCTATACACAGCCTGCTTCTTGTCACAGATTTATATTGTTCACTAGTTGTGGCTTAGACTGGTGCCAGTGAAGCTTCAGAAGAAATGTAGCAGTTTCCATATTGTGCAGCAACAGCTGTAAAATTACCTGACTTTTTAGGAAAAGGTCAGAATTTGATTTGTTTTGGGACATGGGATACATACTTTAAATTTACTTTTTAAAACTAGTATTTTGGGTTTTTTAGATACTTCTGTTGTACCACTGATATTCTTTTAAATTTATGGAATCAATTGTATCTTGATTTTTCATCCAGACTTATTTAGGCCAAGTGTCCATAGAAGAATAATCCCTATATTGTTTCCAAATAACCCAAAGTTAATACTGATTGAGAAAACATTGATCATTTAGTGTTGTTTTAAGCCTTGTTCAGCAAATGTCTTGGCACAGCTGCCTGTTAGCTATGCATATCTTAATTCTATAAAATTCATTTTATTTGGTCTGAATATTTTTTCTGCACAATCTTTCGGTTTGTTTAATTTCTGGTATTCACTTCATTGAATAGATGATTTTGAAAGCACAATACAGCTATTCTACATAATCCATCATAGGCAAGTATTTGAAATTGATATTTTGGAAGGCTTATACTTATAAGCAGAATTTTGTATGTCCTTGGATATAATGAAACAGTGCTATGTAGAGTTTACATAGCTGAGAACTGTTCTAGGAAAAATATAAATCTTCTTGGTTGCCTTTGATTTCTAATGCTTTTTTTAATGGAAGAGCTACTTATGTCATGTACCATCACAATTCGCTGTGATAAACTTTTATAAACATCTTGCAATTTACAAAGAAGATGATGAACAAACTACTTGTCTGATGTTTCACTTAAAAGCATGCAAATACAGTTACTCTTTGTGTTTTCTGGTATCTGCATTCTGACTTTGGTGACTTGAAGAAGCGTGCTCATATCTGGTTCTCACTTAATTGGTTCTAAAAGGAGTAGTATTGTTCATACTGTATTGTGTAACTGGTACATCAGGAGAAGCATTTATTCTTTGAAGGAAGTTGATCACTGAAAGAGATTACAAGGAAGATTTATGTACAGGCTATAACTTCTAGATATGTTTTGATAATTCTGTGAAAGAAGAAAGCTTCAAAGATATGTTCGCTATTCAACAAAAGCTACAACAGTTTGCACTGGCTAAATACTTTAGCATTTATTAGCCTGAACTTAGAATTTATTACAGATAGCCAGAACTGTGGCGAAACATAGTATGAGGAAGTACTCTAACCTTGGCAGATCTCTTGCCAAAAATAAAATAAAATAAAGACAACAATAACAAAAGCATTCCACAGCTTATACTATGATGATCATAAGTGTAGAATTAGGGTCCTAGCTGGGCCACTTAGCAGGGCAAGGCTTTCAAAGACAAATATTATGGAATGATTCAATAATTACTGTAAGTAAAGTGAGAAAATCCTGTTTGTGGATGCGCTTCTAGTTTTTAATAATCTTTTCATAACTGTATATAAAATGTAATGCTGAACTATTTCACTCTCAGGAGTGATTCTGGATGATACCAACTGTATTTAGTGAATTTATGTAATACGGATTAAATTGTTCCTGAAATGGTTAGAACTTTGCCTGTTTGCTTGTGTACACCAATGTGAGGAACATACTTGTTCCTGTTAGTAAGTGCTTCCATCAGAAAGTGCAGTGTGTTCACTGTAGTAGGTCTTATGTATAGTGAATTATTGGCTCCTGCAGCTTGCATGATGCAAGCTTTATATTTAAGGTTGGCAACTTTGCTTATGACAAGAAATTATAGCAGAAAGCAGAATTATTTAAAAGTCCTGAAATATTTTTTTTGTCTGCTTCTTGCAAAGTAAGAAAGAAGGTCTGCCCAAAATCTGTTTAATCGATTTCAAAGAAAATAATTATGCTTAAGTAACATTAAAATGAGTTTTCCAGTGAATTTCTCATTGCTAAAAGTCTTTTGTGCATTCAGGTAGTATTAAAGATATTGGGAAAATAACCCTACAAGTTATGAACTGAGTGAACATTGCAAAGGATTTATGGTACCCATTGGTTTTATAATACAAGATATTTCTGTTGTGTTGAATGCAAAGTTTATAAAATAAATTAAAACTTGGTATTCATAAAATGGGAAGCCGGCAACTTCATGCACACAAATTGTTTTGGATTATAATTCTTGAACATCTAAAAGACCTGTACTAAGACTGGGGATTATAAGAGAAACATAACACAGAATGCAGAAAATATGGAGATGCCCCATTTGTTCTTGGTAACGATAATAAAACTTTAACATAGCCTGTTATGCAATCACGTGTATAAAATAGGCCATTGGATTTGAATATCATATTCAGTAAATACTGGCTTGTTGGGATATGTTGAAATTTGTGCTCAGATAAGTAACTATATTTTGTGAATCAATGCAATTGCGTAAGAATAGGCATATTCTTATCTAACAGAAAAGACACATGGATAATTTGAGAGGCTGTTTGATTTTGTTCTTGACTCTCAGCAACTGTATTCTTTTATCTAATTTGTGAATTTATGAATTAAAGCAAATCTTTTCCCTGATGATTATCTAATACTATCTTATTACACATACTTTTCCTGTATTGTTCAGCCTAATACACTAGGTGACAATCTATATGCTCTTGTAATAAAGTAACAACATTTGTTAAACCCAAAGTTGTTGCTAACAGATTATTTTCTAGTAGCATGATCAGTTTTCAGGCAAGAAATTATTGGAATTGTAATCCTTTTCACTTGTCTCCATTTGCATCTTTTTCTCTAAAACATGCCAGCGCTAATCATGTGGTGATCATAGAATAATTTCAGACAGCCTATATATATAGCAAAAGCAAACTTAATTCTTTCTAGGATTAATGATTCAACATACATGTAGAAGTATTTTGTATTAGAAAACCTTTGTTTTGGCATACAGTCTGATTCCAGAAAACTGAAGAAGCTAGACAACTATATTTTCACTACAGTACTTAAATTTAAGATCACATCATATTGAACATCTTGTTTGCTATGTTAATAATTTATGTGTGATACAATTTTGAGGTATCACATTTCATACATGCTCATTTAAATAAGCATTCAATGTAATACAAAAAATAAGTCATCCTGGATTTGATTAATCTAGGTGCTTAAACATAAAGTTTCTCTGAAAAGTTGAATATATTTTGTCATTTGTCTTACTCTGCACTTTTTCAGTTGTATGTAATATTGTGCCATTTCCCAAATGTCAGCATATAAATCTTGGTATTCACAGTGAAAATGTTCTGAGATTGAGCTGCTGCCTTGATGCTCTTTGAGTGCTCTTTTTATGGTAGCTGTTTCCCTAAACTAGAAAGGATGCCTGGGGAAATATGTTCTTAGAGTATGGGCACCCCCATTTATCAGTCATTCTGAAAGTGGTTTACATGGAAGCTACCAAAGTAAAAATTATATAGGTAATATCGGAGATTATCTAAAGTTACGTCTTTGTGAAGATTTCTGTTTTGTTTACTTCTCTATTATTGTGACTGAGCTTTGTTAAACATAATTAAACCTCTTGAGTTGATAAAATCTTAGTTTGCAGAATTATATTTATTCTGTTAGCTTGGGTTTGGGGCTTCTTGAATAAGAAGACACCTGTCTCAAGCTTGCCTTTATTCAGAAAAACTGTAAGTTTAAACATTCTTCAACTCAAAAGCAGAAATAGATCAAATGAGGATTATGGGATGAGCTATAAATGGATTGATGCATGTGGTTTAAGCTTTCAGTGCCGTTCTTATCTTTTTTGTGTTCTTAGTACTAATGAGACCTATAAATTATTGGAGAAAGAAACAAAACAGAAATTGTTTATTATAATGTACAGAATTGTACATTATATGTTCAACAACTTCAATGTTCGTAAATCTTTCCAAATCTTACATTGCCTTTCTCTAATTACAGAAAAAAATATTTTGTATGACAACTCTAGTTTTCCTGTTGCCATTTTCATTTTAACTGTTTTTAAAATCACCTTACAGAGATGTCTGCAGGAATGCAATCAAAGCTCTGCCCGTTTTTTATGTGTACCACATTAAAATAAACCAGTTGTGATGCATAAAACATGTACATTAGAAAAACCATGTCAGTCACATCATTGTAGCCACCATCATCCTGATTCTTGACCATAGCCTATGGACACCCGTGTCCTTTAAGTCAGAGTTGACCAACATTTTTTATACATACACCAAGGAGTTGCATGAACAGTATAGGCAAAAGGGGTGTTTTAAGGACTGTCAGGCTTAGAATTTAATTCTAACAATTCCTATTTTCTGATGCCACTTAATTTGTGCACAATCTTTTTTAATGTAGCATCAGTCCTAAAATAAAAGTTTAGATGAATTGTACAATAAATTGAAGTTTGCTTTCAACATGCTTTTGAAAACCAATTGCCCAAACTAAATTTAGAAAAGAGCCTAGTTTTTTAAAATGGATTTATGTTGGCAATCTAGATGTTAGTGATAGTTTTATCTAATAGTTGGCTAGACCAGAGGATTTTTTCTCCATTTACATTTTATTACACATTTTCATTTATTTATTTCACACTTTATCACAGTGTTTGGCTGTCTGCCCCTGACTTGTAAGATTAATATAATAACTACTATGAAATCTATCCATCTTTTGGAGGCAAGATGATACCACTAGATGGCAATATCTTAATTCTTGTTAATCATTTTAATTCTTGTTGGAAGCACTGGAACATTTTTCTGTGTAGCTTTGGTTTCTAGCACAGGCTTGTACTAATAGTGTTTTACATAAATCATCTTGCTGTGTTCATTAAAAAAAATGCTTACGCCATATTCCTTTTTTTAATGCATTACAGAATAGCCAGTATGCACAGCAGTAGATTAATGAATATAAAATTTGGATTTACTTTGCAACTTTTTCAAAACATTCTGAGTTGGAAATATTAAATGGTAGGTAAAGATTTTATATATCCTCTCAGAATATAAGAGCAAAATGAAAATTTTGAACTTTAGCTGCAATGTCATGCCAAGTTATTTGTGAGCATGCCCTGCTATTTTAAAAGTAAAGATAATTGGATATAAATAATTTCAACTAAGTGAATAAGATAAAGCTAATTTCTACCAGAATTACTTTGTCAGGGGTGTCAAACTCGCGTCATCACAGCAGCATCACGTGATGTATCGGGACTTTTTTTCCCTTTCCTAAACTGGGCATGGGCCTGACCAGCATATGACCCATCTGGCCCGCAGGCCGGGAGTTTGACAGCCCTGCTTTATGTGCACCATTTTATCTATGTGAATTTGCTAATTCGTACTAGAATGTATTTAATGTTCACTATAGCATGTCACTTTTTTGTAAAACAGCAAAATGTTTCATCTTGCAATCTAACAGAACAATTTTCATAGGCTTGCACCCTTAAGAGTTTTTGTAACCATGGTTCCTAAGGGAATGTTGGGAGTTTCAATCTCAACACATCTGGATAGCAACAAATGAGAGACAGCTGTAGTTGACAAAAACATGCTCTACTTAGAAGAATTAGTTATTCTTCTAGTAATTAGTTTCATATATTCAGGGTATTAACATGTGCTCAAGTTTCCCAAGCACTTTAAATTAGAAAATGAACAGGGATAAAATATTAGGATAAAATATTCCTTGGGCACATACGAAAATATAAAGCCAGTTTACAATCTAATCCCAAAAAGTGGAACCATGCTTGAATCCATGCAGTTGCAGCCTGCTGATTGTATAGTCCAACACACTCTAAGTGCAGAGGATTACTGTATTGGTTTTAATACAGTAGGTGTAGTTTTGCACACATGTAAATCCATTTGCCTGTTAACATCAGAAAATACAGCTGATTACATGCAGTTTTCATTATTTAAATGAATGCCTTTAATATAAATGAATTGTTCTTTTTGGAAATTAATATGTGGCTGGTGTATCAATGGAATATTTCAAATGATACTAATTTGCTTTTAAGAATGTCTGTGGTTTTCATACATCTTGTGAATGCTCATTTATAGGTTGTTCTTGTTTTTTGTTTCATTTTAATGAAAGCTTATAGATTCATGATCTGCCCATTCCCTTTGGTTTTAGTATATTTTGTTACTTTTCCATACAACTGGAAGGACATTATTTAAACCAGCATTAGTGTAAATTTCAGTATATCAGGAAGAGATGAAAATTTCAGAACTCAGTCCCTTTATTAGCATTAAACAATAGAATGCATTATATACATTATTTTAACGCAAGATTCAGTTTAAAGATAGGATGTTCTTATGATCTTCCCTATTAAATATAAAAGTGGAAGGATTTTGCCAATCAGCTCGGTATGTAAACTGAAATTTTGGAGAGGAAATTGTGTCAATAAACATGCACATATCCTCAAATAGTATGTGGGAAGTACATGGAAGTGAATACAGTAAAGAGTACTGACTGGAAGTTCAAGCATATTAAGTCATCTATTTCTTATTGTTAAATTAAAAACTAAATTGCTACCGTATCAGTTTAAAAACTCAAAAATAATGGAGTTTAAATACAACTGTCATTATTGCAGAATTATACATTTGTCTTCCAAAGTTAAGTAGGTAGGTGATATTGTTTTAAAATCATTTTTAGAAATGTTTGAGAAATAAAGATCATAATGTACTAATATACTTTTGATTTTCTGCATATATTGCTAACTGTAAAAATTCAAAAATATTAACAAAAAGCAATCTTAATAGAATTGCTGTTGAGCTTTGACACAACACCAGGAAAAAAATAGGTAAGAATTTTCTTAATCTCATATTCAGATCTTTGCAATACTTTCAATAATACATTTTATTAAAAAGGGAATAAATTATAAGCTACAATGTTAAACATGACATATTAAAAAGTTTAATTTCAAAGGATAAGCTTCACTTTAACTTTTTCTTGTATTTTTAATTCCAATTAGACTTCTAAAATTAAGAAAGTTACAAAATGGCTAAATCATAATCTATATACTACACTCTTTTTTATAAGATGTAAGAGAGCTATTTGTTATATTTTGTGATTATAATGGTGGTTCAGCTTATCCATATGCTCTGTTTCATTGCTATTTCTATGCACAGTGGTAGTTGGCATGCATACTAGAAGATGACAACCTTATAGGCATTTGTGAGTGCATAAGTACACACAAATACACACCTGTAGAAAAAAAACGATCTGGAGAATACTGTGTTTTCTGGATTTGTTATATTTGATAAGGAGCTGTGAATCTAAAGAAAAAGAATGATGATACATATTTGTAGTGTATTATTTCCCATTACTAATAAAGATGGAGTTACTCTTCATCCAAAATGCCTCTACTTTTCTCAACCAACGTAAATTTGCAATTTGACTTAAGTTGCTTATAAATCTCTGTTCTTTAACAAATTGCTACATGTTCTTAGTTTTAAAAGTTTCCTTGTAAAGAATGACGTTAGGATTTAGCCCTGTTTTAATTAATTTCCCACTTTAATAAAATGAGATTCAAGGTACGTGCAATGAACATGACAACATTTCTTTCATGAAAATATATTTTAAAAATACTTTTGCTGTTAACAGAGAAGTCTTGTAATCTTTACTCCCCCATTTTACTTTACAATTTTAATTACAAGTTATTGGAAATCAGAAAAACATTAAATTATCATATATTGAGCAACAATATAAAACGTGTCATGTGTTATTCTGCATCATTGAATTTAATTTCACAAAATCTTTATACATTTTTAATTTTTGAAGATTTTATATTTATCCAGTTTTTTTATTCTAAGCATTTAATATGTAAAATCTATAAAAGTATATTTAGATACATCCATGGTTTGATTTTTTTGTATATACATATGTACACTGTAGCTTAAGAAAGTTGCAGTTTTCTAATATTGGCACTATAAAAGTATATCTGTTAATTAAATTCAGTGAAAAAATATTTTTTAATTCAATGGACTGCAACAGCAAAGCTGATGGAAGAAAGGTTGCAGAATATGTTCTGGTTAGTTGTAACAGAGTTTTTAACATGAAATAAAGAAACTGCAGTCTTAAAGTGCAATTACTATTGTGCAGTCATGTCAAACCGTAGATCAGACTGGGTGAAGCTCAAAGAAATGAGTGCTGTTCATGATTCAAATACAGGAAAGCATGAGAAAATAATAAAAATTCTTAGGCATTCAAGTGCATCAAGAAAATAATTATTCTTGTCTTAAAAATGCCCTTTGCCAGTCTCATGAATCCCAATTCTTATATTGCCCTGATCTGAGAAATTTCAAAATGTTCTAGCTGAGAAGGTCCAAGTGAGGCACAGTATAAATAGCAACTATTGTGGCTAGCACAAATGCACAGGAATTGCTTGCTGATGCTCCATTATTATACCATCCTAGAATGTTTTCTTCTAATGTTCCTTCTATTCTTGGGGCTGCTGATGTACACTGGATTAAGGGCATTTGGTAAGAGGTTGCTCTTTTTTCTGGTTTGTCTGGGCTGGATCCATCACTAGGCCTCTGGCCGTTATACAGCAAGTATCTCCCCCTGGCATCCTGCTCCATTTTGAAGATCTCGTATTCTGTGTGAGGCAGACGGATTCCCAAAGCAATACATCCATTTGTGTGAGTCACATCTTGCTGCACCCCAACTTGCCAGGATCCTTCTGCTCCACATTCATTTCCATTGAAAACATTCAGTAGAGAGGCTGTAGCTATATCCATTGGAGTAACTTTCATATGGTTCACTGCAAAGAGAAGAAATTGCTTATTATATTTTGAAGTATAGCAATTTATAGCCCAGTCATGAATTGATGCTATTTTGTGAACATGATCAAAATCCTTACATTTAAATTATAGTTTTCCTTTAAACTGTGCTTTTATACATTAAAATTGATGTAACTATAATAGGCCTAAAGTTAATTTGCTTCAAAGGTATTCCAACACTTGCCCATCTGCTTCAGCATTGTATTTCCAATGGTATTGAAGATCCTTTCAAAAAGTCAACAACCATTCCACTTTTTATTTCCTTTTAAGCAACTGGTTTTTAGATACTTTTTAAACTTTGAGATTCCATTAGAATTCATGATTAACATATGTTAACAGATGTACCCTCTATCAATGTGGCTAATATTTAAAGGTGCCTAAATTACTGTCTACATCTTGTAGAAGCATTGGTATGCACTGAGTGAAAATATCTCAGATATCATAAAAGTAAAGTACACAGATATTCACCACTATTGCAAACACAGATTATTAAAATTAAGCAGAGTATTTTGAATAATACATGGATATATGGATATTCTCAATATATGCTCGGTCTTTAGAAATAGCCTTAAAATAATGCTTTGAAGGGACCTAAAATGTCACCTCTCTATCTTTATGTCTGGACATTATTGTTTGTTTCTGCCTCTCTATTTCTTTATTATTCTAGTTGGGGTTGCTGTAATGAATGCAGAAGCTTGACTAAAAGGCACCCTGTTATTAAGCTGGTTATTAAGACCAGATGCCTGCAATTACTGCAGGTTCAAATCTCGCCAGGCTCAAGGTTGACTCAGCCTTTCTAAGGTAGGTAAATTGAGGACCCAGTTGTGCAGGCAATAAGCTGACTTTGTATAAATATACAAAAGGATGAAGGCTATTGCTTAGCGCATTGTAAGCCGCCCTGAGTCTCCGGAGAAGGGCGGCATATAAATCAAATTTAAAAAAAACAAACAGCTGATCTGATTGATGGCAGTGCTTCCACAACTGGACAATTCCAACCAAGTAGAAAAGTGTATTATTGCCCTTCCCTGAATAACTGCTGAAAAACTGTGATGCAGTGGGGACAGAATACATTTCATGCAACTAAAGATAGCATTCCTTTTAGCTCCATCTTTCTTATGTCCCTCAAAGTATTTTCACATTGTAGCTACTGAATGTATGCGTGAAATATATGCTGTGGAGAAAAATCTAAAAACACTCAAAAGAATTAGTTTCTGTTTGTGACAGTACTGGATTAGTACTCTAGTTTCTAAAATGCAAACAAGTGGCATAATTATGCAGTATTAATCATGACAAGCCACAGTTGTCTATTGATCTGTGACTAATAAATGATGTCCCTGGAACACAGTATAGTAATTTTGTTGTAGCTGTACTTTGCTGAATCCAGATGTTTCCAGAGGTCAACATCTTGCATCCAATATGTGTGGATATTGTGCAGCCAGAAAAGCAATGAGCTGGCAGTTTTGAATGGGTTTTGTTCCTCAAGTATTTCAACAATGCATTTTTTAGAATTTTAGCATGCACAGTGTTTACAAATACATAATTGTACTGCTTATTACTGCCAAGTTTTTGTGAATGTCGTCTCTGAGTAGATTGCACACCTGAAGTTTTCTTTTTATGTGGGTAGTTGCATTTGATTTAAATGGAGCGAGCTGAGTGATATATAGAAATAGATAATCTTTAGGAGAAATCGTTACAAGATAACATGGGGAAAATATCTCTTTTACAGGCCATCAGAATGGTATATAAAGTCCACCTTTCCTTAAGGTCTCAGAGGAGAGAAACAGATGTTATATTATACTGTATATAGTCATCCATCTGCAAGGTCCTTGAGTTCAATTCCCAATAATTCCCAATAGAGGGCATGACATCTAGCTACCCACATCTGACAATTCTAATAAGGATGAGACCAGTAACATGCTGGTTCCTGGTGTTAATGTAACTCATCTTAAAGAGACCTTGGAGTGAAGCCACAAGCAATATTGCTCAAATTTCCTTATTAATTTTCTTTAACCTAGGTATAAATAATTTCCGGATATCTTACTCATGCGATTTAAACACTGAAATTGCTAGAGCTGTTAGTTTTGGTTTGTTGCTTGGACTAGAGTAATGAAGTCTGAAGAGTACAGGTAAAATTTATCATTTTGAAAAACAAGATTCATATCTTCTGTGTGGATCTCGTGGTTGTTTTGCTGAAAATTCTATTACACTTTTAATACACTATTGAAAATACTACTTGGGAGGAGAATGCAGGTTATTTCTTGGAAAATTAGATCAAGAACAAAGCCTTATGGCTTCTTTTATTAGGACAAAGTAGCACCAGGAAAAAAAGCTTTTATTTCAAAAATGAGATAAATGTAATTTGCAGTTTGATTTTAACAGTTGTGCATATGAAACTCTTAGAAATGCAGAAATCCTATAATTTTATCTCACTTGCTGGCAAGAAGAGTAAGGTGGGATAAATTTATTTTCCTTCTATTACCTAAAAATAATATGTATGTAGACATTAATGTTTTCATATGGTGTAATTCTACTTTTTTCTAAAATTCAACACCTTTCACAATTAGACGTAAAATGCATGTACTAAATGTAGAATATATCTACTCATCAGTCAGTATATTTACAATTCTTGACTTATTTTTGGATCAGTTAAGATTAAGTGATCTACTCATTTGTAAAACAACGTAAATGTTTCTAAATGCATTAAACAAACTACCACAGCTCAGGGTTTGCACATAACTATCCCATTAAAAAAAAAAAGAAAATGCTCCATTTGAAAAATCAATTTCTTGGTAGGAAAATTGAATATATTTTTTGTTGTTTTTTAATGTTCTTGGCCAGCCAAACTTATAAACTGGTATTTATGAAATATTGTGAAGAGAGAATGATGCAAAACTTCAATTGAATTTCCTTTTAAAATTGTAGCCAAATGGGAAGTAAGCAGCAGATAGAATGGCAGCCATTAATATATTATCCTCTTTTGAGTCTTCATCTAGCATAATTTCCTGAGGAACGATAATGTATAAAGACCAGTGTTGTGGAAAAATAAACTTGATTTATATGAGCCAAGTTATTTTGATTCTGAGAAGAACGACTAAATGCAATTTTAAATGATTTTAGTTTTGTCTTCCAACTGAACTGAATAGTCTCCCTCAAAAGAATTCTCAAGCAGACAGACATTGGTTCTATTTCAATTCTGATGTCATCATCATATATAAAACTCAAAACCCCAGCAAAAAGTTCTTTGCAATTATCAATACAGATGTAATTTCATTTTAAAAGTTTACTTTTATGGTAATAATCTCAGTCAACCCTTGTAACCAGTTAACTGACCAATTTAGCCAGGGAGGCTATTCTATAAATAATTTGCAAAAGGTACATTTTAAATTTTGTCATGTCACCTGATTTTTATAAAAAAAAGGCAAAGTAAAGGCTGTTAATCACCTCTGTAGACTTAGTGTTATAATGTGTTTGCCTGGCCCAAAGCCAACATCTCAATATAGATCAAAAGCCAATATGGTGGGAGAACACTTTTCATTCAAAGGGAAGAGGATTTTCAAGTGCGTGCTTAAGCTTTTAGACAGCACCTGTTGGAAATGCCTGAAGTCAATTTTGCCTTTCTCGGGACTGTGTGGCTGCCCTGCAAAATGACAGCACAATCCTAGGAAAGGATATGTGTGTGTTAAGGAGCTAACAGGCATTTACCTGCACACAGTCTGAAATCAAGGGGCTAAACTTTGCTCAACCAAACTAAGAGCTGTATTAAACTCTTACACTTACATCATGAAAGTTGCTTCCAAATTTCTCTATTATGCCAGCCTTCTCTAATTCAAATATATTGGTCTTACAGTTCTGCCTGAAAACTAGTGTATCTCAACCTCAGTGACTTTAGGATATTTTCCAGAATTCCCCAGCTAACAGAAAAACATAGTTCTAGCAGGTATAAACACAATAAAGCTAAAGGCAGGAGATTGGGAAAACGGCCTTAAACCAGTATTTTTCCTCCTTACCTAGAAGATAAACATGCCCTTGCTATCTTTTCCCTTTAATAATATGCATATTTTAACTTTCCTTGATTAACTGCCTTTACTTGCATACTCTCCAAAACTTTAACTAAATTACAACAATACAAATGGGCAAACAAGCAGTGTAACTTCCTGATATTTTTTGACAGAAACCAAGAGAAAAACAAAAACCCACTAGTGCACTAAGTCCCTCATCAGGTTTAAAATCATTCCCCACAACCAAGAGGAGGAAACATGCCTCAAATTCCATCTCTTTCAGTAACTTTATTACATCACCATCTCACCCAGAATGAAAGAATATGAACCTGAAGAGAATAGAATCTTACCTTTAAAGACAAATTCTGTTCCTCCCATCACTTTGGTTGAATGTACACCCCTGCTGTAACGGCCTTTTGCATAAATAGTGAAGGTGGGATGCTTGCAGATTGGATCAGAATAATGATAGTAGTGACCTTCCCAGGTATTATTGTTGTCATGGAAAACGAAATGTCTAGTAAGAAAGAGCACTTCAGGACGTACTTCACAGCGCTGGCTCACCCATTCCCCATGTAATCCAATAGTCAAATCCGCCTTTGGAGGCAAAATTGGAGGATGGTGTTCATCTGATCGATAGATGATCCTACACGCTATACACGAATGGTCATGGTTCTGAAAGTTTTTAAAAAATTGCCATTTAAAAAAAATGTATGAAATACAATTCATTTCATAATGCTCATAACCTTTACATATCATATGGCTCATGTGCTTAAATGTGGCTAGAATCTAAAATGAGACAAAACTAGAGTTGCCTGTTTAAGAGATCACGGTGCTTGAAAACTTTCATGCTGGAAATAAATCTTCAGACTTTTTGTTTTAAAAAAAGCCCTTTGAGCATTCACAAGCCTTAGTACGTTATGTTAATAATGGTGAAAATAAAAATTCTGATCTTTCTTACAACTCTATGCAAGAGATGTATTTTTTTTCCTTATGGTGGTTTATAGGAACAAAGTTAAGTCATCCTAATTCCTTGATAAATGTAAAATTGCATAGGATAGGTTAGGGAAATGATCCTTACCAAAACAATTTTTCCCCCTTGCCAAAATACTGTATCTCAATTCAAGAAAACTTTGTTTAAAGGACCACTAAATTCTCTCCCATTCCCATTACCTTTCTGTGCCTTTTCTAAATCAACCTTCAAGAAAACCAGACTAAGATCGATAACTTCAATGGAATTTTTAAAATGTAAATTAAAATGGTTGATTCTCTCATAGTTGTTAAAAATGCTATTCTGCAATTTCATTTCTTTTACTGAAATGTGAGAATAAAGGTCAAGAATCCATTCTCAAAAAAGAAAAACAAAACGTATTTTAGGTAATAAAATTGATTTATGTGAAACCACTTAGATTCTGCATTTGAAAGTACTGTGTTATGTTAAAGATATGGAATCTGGAAATGCATGAGACAATCTGAAATTTATAAGCAAAATTATTAAGCAAAATTGATATTCTAGAACAAAAATCAAAACTTTTAACTTGATTTATACTTTATATAGTTCTTAATTACAAGTCATTAATCCTGCTTTATGCGTCTGCATTTTCCCATTTCAGAGACGCAGAATATTGCATTTTACATGTGGAACCATTTCAGGAGAATGATCTTCCTTTTTCTATACTTAATCATCCCCAAATGCAAAGTATTAGTTTCTTCTATTTAATATAGATTATAATATGAAATACTATGTTAAATCCCAAATCTTACTCAAAGCCACTTCTCCATAACATACATTCTTACCAGACTACTACTTTTCCTGTCCTTTTCTCTACATTCCAGAATGCTTCAATAAAAATGTCCAGATGCTCTGATATGTATCAGCTTTTATCCAATAACTTGTGTCAAGCTATGCCAGTTCCAGTTTGTTGATTAGGAACTGATTTGTATTTTGATTAAAAAGCTAAAGAGTTACAAATAGGCAACAGAACTAAGAGAATGGTTTTCATTTGAGCTGACTTTGATTTGCTTTAAAATAAGTACTTATTTGTGAACCTTGAAGCTCATAAAATGTTCAGTTACAAATATTGAAGGAAAAAGACATGCCAAGTCAGAATTATTCTGTATTTTGTATTGTATAAATGATAGCTTTATGAAACATTTGGGAGTAGCCAATACTAGAATTATTTTTGGTGTAGATTCACTTAATTTTGAACAGGGTATTTTTAAAAAACATTATTTTAGATCCTCGGTATACTTTGATAGTTTGAAATGCTAACATGCTATTAAAAACTATAGCATTGCGTTAAACACAACTAATTTGTGGGATTAAAAATATACTGTCACCTGAAACAATATATTGCTGAATTGCTATATCTTGATCTATGCAGTTCAGACATCATTACAATAGTTTATCAGGAGATTTTCTTGCCTTGTTTATTTATTTGCTTATTTGCCGATTTGTAATCACCTTATCCAATGTAATCTCTTGTTTACCCAATCACTGCCTGAAAACAATAACACATCTTGAGTTTTATGGCAAATGGTCTATCTTATCCATTTAGTTATTTAATAGTAAACATAGTGCCTGGTATGTTTGTTAATACAAATCTCCTACCTAATGTAAAATAATAAATGTTTCAAATGAGAAAACAATTGAAAGGCAACATTTGACTTACTTCAGTTGCTTTGTCCTGAACTGTTTATTTTGCTTCTCTCCCTCTCTAAAACACTATTCTGAGAGGTATCAAAATGTGCTGTTGAAATATTCTTGCTCGGCCCTTTAGGACTCAATTTGTGGACAGTATATCTTTAGGCCATAATGGACCTGGATGTTGAAAAAAAAGCTAAAGCTGAATTCAAATGAGGCAAGATCTACTATTGCTGATTCTACAAACTGAATTTTTAAATTTGGAAGATGCCCTTGACCCTTTCCGATAAGAATCAAGTTCTCTGACTGGTGTTCCACCTAAATTTGACACTAACACTTACCTAAATAGCATTTTTTTGTCTTAACATGAGCTGATAAACCATAGCCAGTAACTTTAATATTGGATTTCTGCAGTTTACTCATTTGAGTGTCCAGAAACTGCAATTGGTCCAGGAAGTAGCGGTGCTATAAGTACTATATTAGTCCTGCAGTGAAGTAGCTGAACTGGTTACTAATTCCTTGTCCATTTCAAATTGCTGCGCAAACTGTGCAAAGACATACATGACAAAGACCTAAGTTACTTTCATAGAGTCCATCTTACACTTTAGGGCTCTTCTTTACAACACATTAATATGCTACCCTCCCATGCTTGAGACTGAATGTTGATATAAGTGCTGCTCCCACATCTTATTTTTATCAAGTATCAGAAGCAGAGCCACTCAGGGTTGCTGACTTCATAAAGTGTAAATTAGGACAGGTTTAGAATAGTAACTGAATTCCTGAAGTTCCTTCTCTTCCATTCTGTGTCACCTACCGATGAAAAAAACCAATGGCTCAATCCTAATTAAATGGCAGAAAGGAAGATGGTTGGGCTGCCAGTTTTATTATTCTATATTTAATATTTATTTATTTATGAATATCTTGGAATATCAATGTCCTGGAAGATATGGGAGATCAAGAGATTAATATATCTTTCAGTGGGAATACGTGTAGACCCTCAAACTTTGCTCTCCCATTTTCAAAAGAAAAACCTTTACGTTGGTCTGCTCTGTTTCCCATATTGATGAGTCACCAATATGGGAAACAGAACCAGAAAAGGTCAGGGACAACTCAAATTAAATAAAACTAAAGTATCTACAGTGAAACATTTGCCAATCCTGGAAAGAAACATCAGTATTGCCCAGGGAAAAGTCCCTTATTAACAAGGCTTTAACTAACGTTTACTAACCAATTGAAAATAATACAAGATGAATAATACAAACAGTTCATTTAAAGTAGCTCAGGACTGATGGATGCAGGAAGTTGTACATGCCTTGTTCAGACAGAGTGTGATGTTCACCTCTTTAAAAACAATGATCAAGTTGTTCCTGAAGAAACAAAACGTGGACCAAGTGGATGAAAACAGTTGCATGCTAGTGGTCAATACTCCCTTGCTAGGCAAGGTGTTTGTGAGGGTGGTAACTGATCAGTTACAGATTCTCTTGGGTGAAAATGATTTTTAGATTCCTTTCAAACTGGTTTCAGCCATAATTATCAAAAAGAAATAACTTTGGTCCCTGTGGAATGATCTGTGTCAGGAAAAAGACAGAGATAGCAATTCTGTTGGTTCTCCTCAATTTATCAACGTCCTGAAAATATTGAACATAGCCTCTTGCTGGCCAGACCGTCTGAACTGGAGGTGAAGGCCCTGTACCATGGTAGTTCAGATTCTATTTCAATGACAATTTTCAGAACAAGGTGCCAAGGGATTATTGTTCTGCTTTTTGGCAATTTGGCAATGGAATCTCTCAATTTTAAAATCTTCTAAACTCTGTTATAAATAGGATTATATTTATGTTTTACAATTTAAAAACAGATCATCAAGCAAAATTTGTTAGACAGATTCTCTACAACGGATTCTGTTCAGGGGGGTATTTTTTTATTTTTTGTTTTGCTTTAGTTTTGCCAGAATTCTGCCAAAATTCTGGTGCAAAAAGTTGATTTTATGTCTCTCTTTTCCAATTCCAGAAGCAGCTAAAATGAGAAATTTTAAATATAGTCCAGCATTTAAGTTGATTTTCATCAGTGTTGCTGTGGGTCATTAGAAAAATTATAATTCAAGGCAGAAGGATAATAATTATGCACATCATTTTATATTTAATGTAAGTCTTGTTTTATGCTTACCTCATAAGTAATCAAAGTGCAATTGTTCACTTGGTAAATATTTCTGCAAAAGTTATTTTTATTTTTTTTTACAAAAAGGGGTATGAGAAACTAGAATATGACACATTTCTATGAAAAAGTGTCACTTATGCTTTCAAAATAATTATCCCCAGGAAGAATTATATATATAAAAGTATATGTTCATAACTGTACTGTTGAGGTATAAAACAACCTGAAGGCAAATTTAATATTTTAAAAAGTAGGACATGGGAAAAGTAATATATGCTCTTTGCAGCCACATGAATTCTTTCTTCAAAATGCAATTATACTTCAAATAGAAGTTCTACTTTTGTTTAAGTCTTATCGCAGCATTCCCAATTTTCCCATTAGCTACGCTGGCAGAGCATTCTTGTAGTTAAATATCTGGAAGATGCTTTGTTGGGGAAAGCATAATATTCCCCCCTCCCCACACGCGTATTAACTTAATTGCACAGTCTGACCCAAAGACTTTAGAGTCATATCTGCACTTTTGCTTGAAATGGAACATTACATTGAAGGGTTCTGGATCTGAACCAGACAGCCAGTTCCTCTGTTCTCTTATTGCACATTCATGAAAATAAAACAATTTGTAACACTGCATACAATAAAATTGTATAGTCTAAAATAATGCCATATGCTTCACTTAAATATGTACTGTTCAATTTTATTTCTACAAAACATTATGAAAATGTTTAAAGGATAAACTTGAAGTAATTCTAAAAGACTCTGCTGGAATTAACTGATGACAACTGTGATCTCAAATGTGGTTCCAACTGCTATGTACATTCCTTTGAGATGTCATCAGAAAAGATGTATAGCCCTACTGTGAAACTTTAACAATATAGTATGTTTTTGTGAATAAGATAGCTCATTGAGGTTTTCATTGCAGCTAAAATGTGTAAATATATATTAATTTCTACTGTTGTATAACTCTAAGATAAGAAAAAATATTACCAGGAAAGTTGTCATAATAATAATTATTAGACATAATTATAATAAGTATTAAAGAAGCTTGTGGTAACACCTTACTCAGAAGAAAAGTTAATCTTACATTGGTGTGTTCCATTGCATTGGCGTCACATGATATATTACCAAATTATTCCATAATGCAAAAGTAAATCTCTATACCAGTGTTTCCCAATGTTAGCATCTTTAATATATCTGGATTCAACTCCCAGAATTCCCCAACCAGCTGGGAAGTTCAGACATTTTAGCATTTCTAAAGTTGAGAAACACTACTCTATACAATCTTAATCTCATGACCAAGTACCATTCTCTGTATTCTTGTCAGCTGCTCCCAAGTTCCCTTCTCCCTCAAATAGGTATTAACACAGGCAACTGGGTGGGCTTCTTTACTCTAGCTGTAATATGGAAGTACATTTCTCCTGAATGGTGCTTCTGATCCTCCTGATCAATAAACCAAACTGCCAGTACGCTGGAATGATCCTCAGATTATTTTGAAGGACACATGTATCACCACTTGAGGAACTCTACTTTAAGCTCTTGTCCTTGCTGTTGACTGCTATCATTTTCTCCCCCCACTTCTGTTTTCTTAGACATTTTTTTTTCTTTCTTTCAGTAAAAGTCTTCCCCATTAGCATTAACCTTTTTGGGGCTGTAATGATAATCATACTCCATGCAAATATCAAAATCTATTGTGATATTGCACTCTAATGTGGTGGGCATTGTAATAATTGTAGTATTAACTGAGAGATAAAAAGGAAAAACTTGATAGCAAAGAGCAGCTTGTCAAATATGAACAGATTGCTGGAGAGAGAAAATGCTATTAAATATTTTCAGGAATTGCTTCCATTTATATTTTTATTCTCCTCAATCTTGGATGCTACATTTCAATCAAAACTTGTAAGGCAAAATTTTTATTCTTTGATTCATGAGAGGATATGCTTATCCTGAATCTGTGTTATTCCATTCTGTTACAGTTAATTTTCATTGCAATTTATGAAGTTCTAAATCAGAGGTGGGGAATTGGGAGAATTCTGGGAGTTGAAGTCCACAAGTCGTAAAAGGGCCATAGTTCCCCAACCTACTCCAAATGGATGCCATTTACCCCCAATGAAATCAGCAAGACCCAAAAATGTTTGAAGATTATATAAAGCAGAGGTGGGAACAATGGCCTCTTTATGACTTGTGGACTTCAACTCCCAGAATTCCTGAGTTGAAGTCCACAAGTCATAAAGGGGCCATCATTCCCCACGCCTGATATAAACGAATGCTGCCCATTGAGGAGGATTGCCCATTTTTTGCTGCTTTATAACACTAATTCATTTCAAAAGGAAGGCATTGGAGATTCCATTTAATAATTTCTATATTTTTTATAATTTTGAGGGAAGAGATACTATCAGCTGTGCTGGGAGACTAATGTTTAATACATTTTAGCAAACTGCTTCCCCCATTTTGCTTCTTCCTTTCGGGGGCAATAGGGAGGAGACATATAAGCTATTCTGAATATATTTTGGATAAAGAGCAAGGAGAAAATATTATAAAACAAATTAAGTGTATAAAGTATGTAAAAGGTGAAAAAAAGTTAAGGCCTTGAAAAAATCTTATGAAATGCACTTTGAAATGGCAAATATTGAAAAGCAATGAACTACTATACATTATTTATTGGTTTTTTCACAATCATTATGAAAATCTATAGATAACAAGTTTGCCATTACCTTATTCTACTTTTATCTTTCCTGTAAATATGAACTACTTCACTTTTAATAAAAAGAGGTAAGAGCCTTGGTGGCGCAGCAGACTAAAGCACTGTTAAGTAACACCAGTTGCCTGCAATTACTGCAAGTTCAAATCTCACCAGGCTCAAGGCTGACTCAGCCTTCCATCCTTTTGAGATAGGTAAAATGAGGACCCGGTTTGTGGGGGCAATAAACTGACTTTGTATAAAAAAGAACACCACTTGGAGAGGGGGCGAAAGCCCTACTAAGCAGGTATATACAAAAGTATGAAGGCTATTGCTTAACACATTGTAAGCCGCCCTGAGTCTCTAGTAAAGGGCAGCATATAAATCGAACCAATAAATAAACAATAAATAAATAAAGTATAAAATTTGGAATTTCCTTTCAGTTGGGTAGCTGGGTAACTGGCCACACAGTATATTTTTCAGTTTTTCAGGAAATTTTGCAACGTATTCTCTTGCAACTATCAGACAGATTTTAAAGAGCAGAAACTTTTGAGAGTATGGATCAATGCTTCTTTGCCACCAAGGAAAACATTCTGCCAAGCAGCAATGTCTGCAGCAATGTCTGTTCGTCAAAAGGACAAAAGCAATATTGTTGCATTCTGTCAGCAAGCTCCGTCCCTTTTGTACATGTATGTTACACTGCATTAGATGCAGGGCCTATATCATGATACTGCTTTTATCATTTTGTACCTCACTACCTATTCCAGATGCCACTGCTGTAAATATATTGAAAAAAATGATACATTGCAACATTCTTTCCAATTAAAATATTAAGAACATGAAACAGATTTGATCCTACAAGTCTGCACCCAAGGTGCAAATTAAAAAGACATGAAAATGTGGCAACATGGGTGATAAGCCAGCAAAGAGAATATAGCAGTTTGATTGTCAGATAGGAAGATGTAACAGGATAATAATGTCTAGAAGGCATACCTGACAGACAAGCAACCCTGATAAGGAAAACAGACAAAGCCTGCATGGGATCTGGACTCAAGCTTTGGGCCAAGTAATTTTAAAAACATACTTCGTTTACATGTCTTGGAAATACAACTGAAATGTTGATATACCTTGGCATTTTGGAGTGGAGGTTGATAACTGGATGGGCGATAATACATCCTTTGAGCAGGGTCTGTGTGGATGTCTCCAAGAAACAGTTCTTCTACTAAGTGATCTAAATTATGATGAAGGTATTGTTTCTCTACTCGAATCAGTTGAAGTTCATGCATAGCAAAATTCAGTGCCTTTGTGCACTCATAGCCATTCTCTTCTCTCCATAAATCATAGCTCACATTCTGTTCCCAAGGTTTATCTCCTGCTACAAATCCAGGACATGTACGATTCACCAACTGATATAGTTTATCGGCTTCTGCCTCATTGTGGCAGATGATCTGAATGTTATGCAATTGATAATCTGCTTCGGTCCCTCCTCGGATAATCCAGGATGCTTGACGAAGGCGGACTTTACCACGGATAACCAAGGTATAGATTGGGGTTGTACACCGATTGCTTCCATAGTAAAACTGATAAGCTTTAAATGTATTGTTATGGTAGAATCTGTAGGATCTTGTGATGAACTCTGGGCCTGCTCTAACTTCACAACTATAGTCAAACAGGGAAAAAAAACCTTTGTTAAGGTATGAAATTATAAAACTTATTGTCAAAACAGGTTCTGAAGTTAATACATCTCTAAGTAACAACCTATTCACAGTATTTATAATAATGATAATTGGAATACTTGAGCTTTAATGCTTCTATATATAACAATATTTGCTTTGGTTTCTTAACAGAACACTTCAGGTAAGAGCCTTTTATTTCTCTTCCAACTTCTTGTACTACACCTTGTTTTCCTATTTTACTTATTGTTTTTTCTCCCTCTTTATTATATATTAAGAATTCATTGTATGCTGTATAGAGATAGTTTAATGCAATTTCTGTAAAGATGCTTCATCCACATTCCTATAAAAAGACTGAACCCATGCACCAAATTTTAGATCGGTAGCATAAATGTATTCTAGATTAATAATGTAACATATGCTACACTAATATACTAAACAAATACCTGTATCAAATGGTTGTATACAGATTATAAATGCAAAAGATGATGTATAAAATGAACCAATTTGCCTATTTGCCAATTATAAATAAGAATTTGCCTAAGAAATGAGCTTCTATATATTCCACCAGGACTTTTAGTAACTTGAATGAAGACTGGTATTTATCAAAATAATCGTCCCATTAACTTTAACTGTGGCTTTTGCCTGAATAAGGACTGCTGGATTAGACTTGAAGGAACTGTATGCCTGGAGAATACTCCTAAGAACATAATTTAGAGTATACTGTAAAAGAAGACTATAAAATAAATCTTATTCTACAAAAATATCTATAATGTCAATTAAACATTTACACATGCTTGGGTTGTCAACTATAACTCTGTAATTTCAATTTATAAATGAATTTGTACAAATTCAGAAGATAAAACATGAAGTCATGAATTTATTCAGAAGATCTTATAATATTTAAGTCCCAACACAAGAACAGCATATGAACAATTTTCTGCTATGCTGCAGTTTCCAAGTAGAAAATATTTGAAATGGCTTAAACACAGATTGTGGTCACAAAATTCTGCAGACAATCACAACAACCACATGTTACAATAAGAACTGACTTTAATACTTATGGAGAGAGAGAGAGGGACGCAGGAAAGAGTTGGGAGAGAGGGAGTGGGGAGAGAGAGGGAGGGGGAGAGAGAAAGAGAGCATGCACTACTATCATTAAGGGGAAGAAAAAAATTAATGTATCCAAATCCTTTAACTGATTGCAAATGAAAAGTATTTTAGGCTGTAGTGTTTTCCAATATGATCATTTTGTTTGCCTATAAACTTACCCCGTTGAGACCCAATGTCCCTCAATCATGGGTGGCATCTGTACAGTAATCCGAGCTCCATTGTGAAGATGTTTCAGCATGTGATGACACTGTGATTCCTTGAAAGTTCGCCACACGTTCTTTTCTAATGTTTGAGGATGAGTCCTGCTGTCATGAAGTGCAGAACCTTCTCCCAGCCCTGGATAATCAAAGATGAACTATAAGTATTCTGGTGAATGTAGATTAATAAAAATAAATAAATATATAAAAAATAAATTTCCGTTATTGGCAATGCGAGATAGTTTGACATGTGAATGCAGGGCTCTAGAAACTGACCATCTGCTTGACATGGAGATTATGATGAATGCAAATTTTGGAAGACTGTAGAGATATTATGAAAAGTTTACTGACTGATGGATTCTAATACTTGGATCCAAAATATACCGAATTATATGCATGCTATCACTACTTTGGAAAAAAAACTTTATGCAATGCTCAGCTTCCAAATTTATCAACTTGGAGTTGCCAAAATCAGCTGAAGCCTATTCTAAAAATTCCCTTTTGTCAGTAAATGAGTATAAGTGACATATATGATTTTATGTGTGCCAATATGGATACCTGTCAGCAGCTATCATTCCCCCTTCCCCTGCAAAAATCAGGGCTGGGATGAAAGGAGTTAATATTGACTAAATTAATGGTTATTAAATCAAATTAATTGTCAGTAAAATAAATGACACTTTTAACAAAAGTACTGAAAGCTTACCAGTATATTTCAACTATTCTTTCTCATGCAGAAATCGATATTATACATATTACACACACGTGTGCATGTACACACACGCACATGCACGTACACATGTCCTCCTCCTTGAAAGAAACAGCAAAAAAGAAAAAAGAAAAAAGAAATGGGGATAGGAAAAAGAAGGAAGAGAAACGGGAGGAAAGAAAAGAGACACCTGTTTGCCCATTTTAAAAAGGGTTAAATTTCATAGTCAAACAGCCCTTCCAAGCTATAACTAATCTTCAAAGGCATCAGGAGCATCTGCTGAGCCTTTTGCACTTCATAGTAATTCCTTTATTTTCAACACCCTCTTCTATTCTCATTCTACAGAATTGTTCTTTTAAACAATCAAGTTGTGTTTAATTGCAGATCCCAATTTCTTTCTTTGTATACATTTAAATTTCTTGTTTATGCTAGAACATATTTAGAAAATAGCTTTTATATATATTTGGACAAGTTATAGCAGGATTAGTTTACTTTCTAGGTAGCACTGATCCGCTAATCACTGTAAAGGGAAAACCAAGTCTTTATTATATACTTACAATATCTCTATTATATACTTTATATACAGTATACAATATCCCATGAAAACACTTCATCCTGTAATACATTGTAAAAAATATAAATGCCTTTAAAGTTGAGATATAGAACTGCCATTTAATGTTTTTTTCTATTTCATTTCTAAAATTCTGAAACAGGGGGAAATCTGAATTGATAGAATTATACAAAAATTATACGATGTATTAATACCCAATATATGTATAGATCTCAAGTTTATACTCATTGTGTTTATAAATTTTATGCAAGGAACATCTGAATAACTATGTATAAAAAGTTACTGTGCAATCATTAGCAAATATTTTCACTAAGAGAAATTAAGACTTGGCCTATTTGATTCCATGGTTCAATAGGTTTAGCACATGAGAGCACTGAGAGCCAGTTGGTCTAATATTTAATGCACCAGGCCAGAAAACAGGAGACTGTCAGTTCTAGTTTACCTTATGCCTGAGAGCCAGCTAGATGACATTGGACCCGTCACTTTCTCTCAGCCCCACCCACCTCGCAGGACTGTTGTAAGAAAAACAGGAAGAGGAAGTAGTATTATATATGTTCACCACCTTGAATTATTTATAAAATTAATAAAGATAGTATATAAATGAATAAGGAAAACATGTAACCTGTGAATAGTCACCCTGTTATTAGAGTATTGATATAAAGTTTTACATTCTGCAACATGTTTTTTGGAGCAGAAACTTGTCAGAAGTTTTACAAAGTTCTGAGTTACATGCAATGGAGCTTTTCTTTTCCCTGCATCCCAAATCATTGCTGAAAGGACTTGTCATCCTTTAGGATATTTGTTGCTATATTTTCAGGGGTGTCAAACTGGTGGCCCACAGGCCGGATGTGTCTTGTCCAGGCCATACCCAGCCAGCTCCAAAGGGAAAAAACATTGTGATACGTCAAGTGACAGCAAAGTAACGTGACAGGTTTGACACCCGTGCTATATTGCATTTGCTCATAATTTTTGGTCAGCCAAGATAGAGGTAGAACATCTATCACTGCCCTCTCTCATCTGTCAGACCTTCAAAAAAGCCAGCCGGAGTAAGTAAGTAAATAAGTAAGTACCATGTTTCTCCGAAAATAAGACCCTGTCTTATATTTTTTTGAACCCTGAAATAAGTGCTTGGCCTTATTGCCATGCACTCAAAAGCCTGATTGGGCTTATTATCAGGGGATGTCTTATTTTGGGGGAAACAGGGTAAGTAAGTTAAGTAAGTAAGTAAGTAAGTAAGTAAGTAAGTAAGTAAGTAAGTAAAAATAAGTGTCATTAATCATGGTATCCTTCTGGATCAGCATAGGATATTAGAATTAGGAGTGGGGGCGAATGGTGTTACAGTAGTTTTCCTCCTCCCTGTGGGCTAATTCCAATCATATTGGTAGGAAGACAGGTCTAGTTTTAGGCCTTTGCTTCGTGAGGTTCCTTAGAGCTCATCTCCCCACTTTTATTTCACATTTACATGAAGCTTCTAGATGAGGTGCGTCTTTGGTAAGGGATTAAGTAACATCAATATGCTGATGATGCTCAGTTGCACATCTTTATCCCTGGCCAACCAAGTGATTCCACCTAGATTCTTTGCCAGTATTGAAGGCTATGAGGGTCTGGAGGAAGAATAGGCTTCAAAACCAAATGACTGTGGGTTTCAGGGCTCCCCAGAGCTGAGGACTTTCATCATTAGTTCTGGATAGGGTAGTGCTTCCCTAAACAGAATTGGTACACATTTGGGATCTTCTTGGATTCATAGCTCCTATCCAATAGTGGTTGCTATGCTATGTATTAATTGCACCAGCTTCTGGATTGGGAAGCCCTGTTCATGAGCCCTTAAACTGATCACTTCCTGTTTGGACTACTACAATGCAAACTACACATTAAGTATCCTTAAAGACCACCTGGAAGAGACAACTGGTCCAGAATGAAGCAGTGTGGTTAGTTTGAGGGGCTCTTCTTTGAGGCATTGGAGTAGGATATTAGACAAGCCTGTTGTATAAGAGTTAAGAGTAGTTGCAGTTAAGGATACGTGTCTTTTTAAAATTCATTTTGTTGCCTTTTGTTTATGTGTTTTTCTGCTGATGCTAGCTGTTGAAAGTCACAATTGTGAGTTGGACGGCCATACAAACTGATTAGTAAATTATTAATAACATAGTAACTTTTCCTACTTAATCCAGAAAGATGGGAGATTGCACAATGTTGGAATGTTTTCCATTTGGAGCTAGTTAATGAAAGTTGCATGGAGTTCTAATGACAGTAACTTATTATAGCCAAGTTATTACAGGATAATCAGATGTTCTTCTGAAATTCTGTACCTATTTTCCCTCTGTGGGTCAATAGATATTTCAGTATACATCCCTTCAAACATGTATCTTTTTCAAGGACTTAATATAAAATGGAACTGCAAGATACCAGAGAATGGCTAAATACATTATTTTTTGCTGAGCAATGGCCATATTCTTATGTTTTCTTGCTTATGTTTAAATCTGTGATTGCGATGCAAACTTACTAAAGGAAAAAAGTTTATAAAGGGGGAGGAGCTAAAACTCAGTGATAGACTACATGATCTGTATGTAAAAGGTCTTAAATTTAACAACTAGTAAGATTATAAAAATATCTGGCCTGAAAATATCTGGGCTGTGGTAAGTCAGCAAAGCAAAGATAGTACCAATGATGATAGACACATTGGGTACAATCCCAAAATAACTGGAGTACCACTATCGGGTACTGACAAAATCATCATCAGTCAACTGCAAAAGGCAGCTTTGCTTGGAACAGCTTTAACTATAACACCATCAAATAACATCTGCCTATCCCAGGTCCTTGGGAAGGACTTGATGGGTGCATAAAATGCCACATCCTGTCTAAACATGTGGCTGACGGTGTGACCAACCATAATAAGCAACTAAGCGAACACAGAATGAACAGAATGCAACAGTTTACTGTATCCCATGAAAGTCTGTAGCAGAGTTTGTTAGATAATTCAGTATTTAGTAATTTAGAAAGAATCTTCCAAAGTTTAAATAATGTAGATGAAAATTCTTTATTTAAGAAAAAAAGAGGGGGATGAGACCCTGCTTGATGAAATGATTAAAGTAGTGAGCTAGAAAATAGGAGACTGTGCGTTCTAGTGCTGCTTCGGGCATGAAGCTAGCTGAGTGACTTTGGGCCAGTCATTCTCTCTCAGACGTAGTAACAAGGCAATGACGAATCACTTCTGAAAAACCTTGCTAAGGAAACTGCACATGTAGTTAAAGGAGTCCATTACAATAGGTACCATATACTGTATGTATTTGCCAAACATTCTGGTATTTCATGTTAACTAGCTGGAAACTCAGTATAACAGTGATAGTTATTTTGAGAAAGCAAAATTACATTTAATGTACAGTATAAATATTAATTATTTTGGAAAGCTATCCTAGTGTATTGTAAAATAAATTAACCCCACTGTTCTGAATTCATTTTACCGCTCGTTTTAATCAGAATTTCAGTAACAGAAAAATGTCACATGATTCAAACCTTCTTTAACATTCAACAAGTAATAAATATAGGATTTTAAAAGTCATTTCTAAGTTACTGAGATAGGATGCTCTCTTTCTCCTTTTTTCTTCTTCCCTCTATACAGTGAATTTTCTCATTTTATGTTTTACTCCATTACATAATGTCAGTAGATAAGGAAATTACCGGTAATTCAATTTTTAAATATATAGCAGTTTTTGTATATTTGATATAAAATATATAATAAATTACAAATTGCCACATCTAATCCCGCTTGGTTACTAGATGTAATCTAGTATCTTGAAAGATTTTTTTCAGTTTTATCTTGTGTAATCAGTCATTAATGATGTCAATTTTAATAATTGACCTGAAGGAATAATTTAGCTTGAATTTGCCATAGAAAAAGCAAAATCCAGAGATTGGGATGTAATATTACTATTATGCAGCTCCGACAGATATAATCTTCCAGACAAGATTTTCAAGTTTTGACCAGTGGTGGAATTGGAAAAGATTCAGAGAGTATGAGTCATAGAAATAATAGACAAAGACTCTCCATGTTTAGAACAAAAATCAAAGACATCAGAAGTCCATTTAGATTATCTCTGCCATCTGCTTCCAACAATGGTTTGCCAGATGCTTATAGGAAACCCACAAACAAGCCACGGGGAGGCAATGTGTGTTTGCATGCAAGAATGTACTATTTCTGAATATGCAACTCCTGCATGATTATCAGCGTTAATAGTCTGACAAATCTATTCTCCAATTAATTCAACAAATCTATCACATCTTAAGGCAACAAAAATTGTTAAATTAATTATATGTAATATTTCTGTCCTCTATCCTAAATTAATTAACTGGGTAATCCTAAATTTATATCCCACCTAACCAGTAGTGGTTTTCACTTATCTCCGCTACTGGTTCAGGATTGTGAGTGCGCGCAGCACTTCTGCGCATGCACAGAACCTTCTGCACATGCACAGAGCGTCCGTGATGATGTTCAGGCGAGTGGGTGGAGCCTCCTGCCGCCCTATCTATCTATCTATCTATCTATCTATCTATTATAATATATATATAACTTACAACCATTCATTTAGCAACTGCTTGAAGTTACAATGGAACTGAAAAAAGTGATTTACAACTGGTACTCACACAATGATCACATGATCAAAATCCTGGTACTTATCAACCAACATGTTTTTTATGACAGAGTCGTGTAATCACCATTTGTGACCTTCATAGCCAATTTCTGACAAGCAAAGTCAATGGGGAAGGCTGGATTTGCTTAACAACCATGTGATGTGATTCAATTAACAACTGCAGTGGGTTATTTATGATGGCAAAAAAGGTCATAAAATCAGGTGTGACTCACTTAACAACCGCCTTGCTTAGCAATGAAATTCTGATCCCAATTGTAGTCTCAAGTCAAGGACTACAGTTGCTGAGACAGTAAATTATAAATGTAATGACAGAATATATATAAGCATTAAAATATTCTTTTATTTCTCCCAAGGTGAACCCCAGGCCCTTTGATACTGTTTGGTGTATCATACAAAACACACACGCGCGCGCGCCCACACACACAGATTGAAAACGAGTGATTTAAGGGATATTAGTTCGGGGGGGGGGAAATCTTAAATCTTTAATAACAATAATAAAAGATTTAAGATACATACCAGAAACTGATAAGATTCTTCAATTAGCTGTATTATATAAAAAATAAAGGTGGCAGTTGCCTTACTTTATAGATTCCTTTAGTCATAAACAAATGTCACCATTATGAAGGTTACATAAATTTAGCAACAAAAAAAATCACCCACACACAAGAGGCCAGCATTGCCCATCCAATTATCTGTCCTTACTTCAATGCAAAAGGGTTATGATTTTCTATTACGTTCTTCACTTCTATGCTTACTGTATATACAACTGATTCTTTCTCCTCCCTCTTTTTTCTTTTCTCATGTTCCCAATTTGATAGTACTCTGAGGGAGGGACAAGCAAAACTCCCCATTTCAAATTCTCTTGGCAGAGGCTGTTTTGATCTGACTACTGGCCCTGATTTGTTTCACATTTCAGCCAAAGTTTAAAACAGCTTGGTAATTCTAAGCAGATGAACCTATGAGTCTAACCCTATAATTATACCTTCTCTCCTTACTTAGCCTCTAACTTCAAACCTTCCATTCTAACTTCTAGACCAAAGAATTTTAAAGTACACCTTGGCGTCCATGCATGTCTGTTTCAACCATATATATTTATGTAGTCTGTATATGTTGTGCTGAGTTATTGGAGGAGAATAAGTACTTTTTTAAAAAAGCAGTCCTTTTATCTATAAAATAACAAGTTACCTAGAAGGTACAGATTTTTTTAATCAGGATGGAGTGGCATTTCTGCATTTGGAGTGGCATTTCTGCATTTGAGAGTGCCCAAACAGATGGGATGGTAACATCTATGTGTTGAAAACACCTGTATAAAATCCACATCTAGGTTCAAATGCTGATTTTAAACTAATTTCTATTAATTTAACAGATACTGGACAGCTATGCAGATACTCATTCATCCAATAAATGAACATTTCTATCAAATAACATGTAGGGTAAGGTGGAAAACATAATGTTACTGGATTAGAATTCCAATCATTCATTTATCCTAGCTGGGAACCAGACCTCATAAGTGGAGAACCCAGAGGTTCCTCAGCTATAACTTAAAATAAAATATTAAAAACTTTTATGGACATTCTAAATTGGAAATCGCCAAAGCTAGAATTTTATGAAAGAACAAGTCTTGCTGCAGAATATTAGCATTGTTCTTAACAATTTTTTAAATCTATAGTTGTTTTTAATAGGCTTCTATATAAACATAAGCTCTTATACAAATTTAAAAGTCCTCTTGTTGATTAATAACTAAAGAATAAGAAGGGGGATGAAATGAGTAAATCCCCTTTGGATGTATTGTGATCTGGAATTGGATGCAACAAGTAAATGGGGTTTTTGCACAGTTGAATTTTCCCTTATATTCCTCTCACTGATTCAAACTCCCTGAAATTTGCTTTAATGCAAAAGGGGAGCAACAGAAAACATATATATATATATTTGTGGGCAGATATTGGTCTGGTAATAGATGAAGAAAACAAGATATAATCAGGCTGCAGATGTAATCAAATGATTCAGAATGGAGAAATACAATTAAGATACAATACAAACAAATACAACAAAGGGCTCCTGAATATTGAAGGCACTCTCCTCATATTGAAAACATAGATAATCAAATCACAAACAGAATATTAAATGTGAAAATCATATGTCAAATAATAATGCAGTAATATAATGCATAATGAAGACAGAAAATCCCAATTATATGTAGACTATGATGACATATGAAGCAGCTATGATTATTGGAAGACATTGGGATTGTATCGGGAATAAGAATACCAGATTTTGCAGCAACAGTAAAAAAATTTTTTTTAAAAAGACTGAAAATAAGATAGGTATATCATAACACTATTACAGACATGTAACGGTATTACATCATCTACAATTTTAGTTAGAGTTTTAGATATCCCATCTCAAAAATGACATTAAAACAATGGAAAAGGTGCAAAAATGGTGCAGTTATTATCTTCCACTTGAGAAAAGACTAAAATAATGAACTTTACAGTCTAGAAAAGAAGAAACTGGAGGGGATCATGACAGAGGTACATTACATCACTAATAGTGTGGAATAACACTGCAATACACATTAATGAACATTAAAGTCAGGGCAGGCCAAGAAATGTATTTTCTTACATAGCATGTAATGTAGCTTCTAGAAGCCATTACTACAGTATGAAGTTATATCTCTGTTTTAAGATGAATTTAAAAGATTTGGCAATGACTAAAAACCGTATGTTTAAAAACAGTGTTCAGTACTCTTGGATACCAATTTTAGGATCAAACTACAAAAGACCACTATGGGTCTAATTACTCGTTTGTGGAGTGCTGAGCTAGGCATTGCTGGGAACAGAATGTAAATTCTACAAACGCTTGGGGTGATCCTGTTGTTACTTTTATGTACATAACTTTTACACAACCCCCCCCCCCAATTAGAACACATCTTGGCATTTCATCATTAAATGAAAAAGAACTGTGACTGCAATATACAATCATTTTATTATTGAACAATGCATCTGAAGCAAACACTGGTTTGGGTCAATGGCCTAAGACTCTTTTTTCTAGGTCTTCTTGGATGTAGAAGTCAACTTGGCCTCTCTATTAAGCCCATGGTGATATTAAGGTAGGCATTTAAGAAAATAAAAGTGGGAAGCTCTTTTATGAAACTTCTAACAGGCAAAAATGGGACTATATTAATTTCTCTCTACCTAAATACTGTGTTAGATCTTTCAGGATCTTATATATCAAATATGCAACTGTTAAAAACAGACTTTATAATGAATGCATCTATACAGCAATTCCTGCTTTTGGAGCTGACATTTTTAAGAAAAAAAAATCAGCCTCACAAATGTTGCATATTTAAATTGTTCACCAATGTACCTCTTTCAGTTTTTCAGGAAAATAAGAAACTTGGCTGTCATGAGAATACCTCCAATAAATACTAGACTCATGTCTCTAACCATCTGTACAGCAAAAAGAAAACATTTAAAATATCATTTCCCACTACAACACAAAAGGCTTGAAATGACGTTAAAGGGAAAAATTATTGTTATCCATAAGAACAGTGTTAGCAAATACCAAGGAGCTTGAAGTTAAGGCAAGAAGTAGCTTTTCTAGCCTTACCCGAAGTCTGGCTAGAAAATGCAAGAATTACTCTTGTTACAAGAATAATATAAAGATGATTACAGATGCATTATTGTTTCTTTCTGGAGTACTCACCATGCAAGAGCAGGACTAGGAACAGGTACCCAACCAAGATGCAGCAGGGATAGGACATTTCCAGCTTTTCAATAGCTTCTCTATTCCGGACTTTTTTTTTTTTTTGCGCTCTTAAAAAAATCTCTTTTTTTTTTTTTGCTTTAATAATCCCTTTCTTCCGCACCGCTGAAGTTCTTCCAAATCCCGCAAGTTCTCTCACGCACACGAAGCTCGAATACACGCGCTAGTAATAATAATCATAAAAAAAAAAAAAAAAAGACGAAACCCAGCGCAAGAGCGAGCGAAGGTTCTGAGCTGGAGGATGAAGTCCAGATCCGCGCAACCCACCTGACGGGATCCAACCTACCCCAAACCCTCGCACCTTCCCCTCCCAACTCGGGGCGAACCCCAAATGCAAAAAGCAGCGCGAGGCTCCAGCGTCTTCAGGCAGCTGCCGCCCTGGGCTTCAGTCCTCCAGCTATCCCACCCACCGCCGGCCAAAACTTTTCAAGGGAAGGCGGTCCGACTCGTGCCGGCCGAGGCGAGGGGCTTCGGGCGCGCGCTCAGCTCCCAAGGCTTTCCCGGTCTTTGGCCTTCCGAAGCCGCTGCCTGCTCAGAGAAAGCCTCGGGCGCCGACCGCCGTCTTTTTTTCCCCTCCGCGTCTCCTCCTGCGGCTTTTTCTGAAGCGCGGCGGCGGCGGCGGCGGTGGCACCAACAAGTACTCCCCTTCATATTTCCCTTCCCAGCCGCAACCCCAGGAGGGAGGGGTCTGAGGTGGCCCGGGGCGGGGCCGGGCGGGGCGAACTGCTTGCCGCCTGAAACCGGACACCCTTGACTTGAAAGGAGACTACAAAGAGCGGAGAGGCTTCGAAGGGAGGATCCGGCAGTTCCTGCCCAGGCTGCGTTGCCGCTTCAGCCCTCCTTTGATCGTGGATACCAAACAAGTCGGGGCCTAACAGCGGATGACGTTAGAGCCAGAATTTGAAAAGGAGGGGTCTCCCCCGCCCCCCCCCCCCCTTTGGCTGCAAAAGAACGACAGCGGGCAGATGTGGTATCTTTAAGCTAATAGATTTTATTATATAATACTCCTGAGAAAAAGACGGCCCTCTGTCTTGCTTCATGCACACCTATTGACTAAATCGCTGTTTCTGTTCGGGAAGCTCCAGATCTTCTCTTGTCCTCGCTGCCCTGGGAGTTGTGTCACGTGTAGAGAAGATAGAAAAGTGTGCAAGCAGCGGTGGGCTCCATTGTTCCCTAATTTGGGCACTATGTCTGCTGGGGCATGGACCTACCGAGTTTCTGGCCAACGAAGCAATCTTCCATCATCCCAGCCTCTGACTGAGAAGGAATGAAAGCAATTTTTTTTTTCTAGTTTGAGGCAGAGGTGAATGAACAGTCTTAGATGGTTGTGTAGCCCAGTCTTGCCCTGGAGTGCCAGATTTTCGTTGTTGAATAAACACTTATTTGCACAACGCTGAGAATTGGTTATGTTGGGGTAGAAATCTAATAAATACATAATTTTTAAGGAGATTCCCTAAGTCCTCCTTTGTTATAGTGGGAAAACCCACATTTTGTCCCAAGATTATAGATGAAGGCTATTTGGAGTTGAGCTTTATTCTTGGTGAATTCATACCCATCTCCATATGGTTTTCTTGGTGAAAGTACAACAATGATTTGCTACTGACATCTTCTGAACTGTTGTTTCAACTTCCCAGTCCATCAGATATTAACCAGTTCCAAACTTCCTTAGCAGTTCAAAACAAACCAAGCTCCACTAAATGCTGTCATCCAGATCACAGGTCACCAACCTTTCGGACTTCAGGACCACTAAATTCATAATTTTAAATCCCGTGGACCACTAATATGAATTTTTTAAAAAGATAAATAGTATTTAATGCAATATAAAAATGCAAATAATTTTTCTGCGGACCACCAAATTTTTCTCGCGGACCACTAGTTGGTGACCGCTGATCTAGATAATGGATTGTAGTGCAATGCAACATGGCAGATAATTAAAGATAAATATCTTCCCACTATGTTTATCTACAGATAGGTCACATTAATTGGATGCCCTGTATTTTTTAGTTGTATATTGTTCATTCATTCATTCATTCATTCATTCATTCATTCATTCATTCATCAAATTTATATAGTTGCCCATGTCACAAGAGACAATTCTAGGCAGCGCACAACATTATTTTAGTATAATAGGTTAATCCAAAATATACTATTTCTCAAACTGTTATTGAATCCTTATTGCCTTATGGACTTCCAAATGGGTTTTAAAGGAAATATTCCATGTTATGCCATAAGGCTAATACAAAAAAAGCTAAAACACACAAACTTTTCGGAAGCATCTTCCCAATTTTATCACTTATTATTAAGGACACAACCACATGGACTAGCAACACTTTACAGACAGAAACCTTAAGGCTTAAACATTTAAACATTTTAAAAATATTACAATTTTGTAATCCATGTAATTCCATTAAAATAATTTCATGAAATATGTGGTCTGGTATCTTACCCCATATAAATGTTGGATTAGGAGGAGGGAAAGCCAATTTCTAGTTTCTCATTGAATTTGGTACTCAATGCATTTTGATGTGGAAATGTTGTCCCAGTATTCATTGTTTGTTTGGTATTTGACATGCTGCAAAAGGAAGTGGGGCACAGCGACAGAGGGAAGATAAGAAGTCGGCCATGCTTGGAGAGTTGCTGACATAGGAAAAGAGACAGGCAGGAAGACCTTCCAGCTGAAACAGAGGGTCGGGTGGTCTGTCACATGGTTTGTTTTTAGTACTTGTTGCGCCTCATGGAACCAAGGACAAGTGCCCGGGTACCACTGTATTATATATAATAATAGTCCACTTTATATTCTCACCCAATATATTTTGACCCAAAACAGATGGCTGTCATGATTCTATCCCATTGTTTCAACCTCATGTATAGTACATTTAGCATATTAATCTTTATCAATACAAATGTACAAAAATGAGATGGCACACATTTTATTTGTATATAAAATTTATTTATCAAATTGTTTAAAATTGCCCATCATTTTCACAGAACGATTTTGGGCAACATACAATACTATTAAAAACATAAAAACCGGGGTGAAATCCAGCAGGTTCTGACAGGTTCTGGAGAACTGGTAGCGGAAATTTTGAGCAGTTCGGAGAACCAGTAGCAGAAATTTTAAGTAGTTTGGAGAACTGGCAAATGCCACCCCTGGCTGGTGGGATGGGAATGGAGATTTTGCAATATCCTTCCCCCAGGAGTGGGGAGGGAATGGAGATTTTGCAGTATCCTTCCCCTGCCACGCCCACCAAGTCATGCTCACCAAGCCACACCACGCCACGCCATGCCCACAGAACTGGTAGTAAAAACATTTGGATTTCACCACTGATAAAAACTATATATAAAATTTAAAATGTTATTACTATTTGTTTATCTATCTTCCATATCACAATTTCAGATAATATTTGCTACAAGGCAATCAGGGCAGTTTTAACCTTTCATTAATATATTCAAAGATGCAAAGTGTTTCTGATTCATATTTCTCTGTCTTCTATACAAAGACTTAGAAATCTATGGTCTAGAGGGCAAAAGATGAGAAGGAAAAACAGGAAGCACCTGTACACTCTCATGGACTGGTACATAAAAGACAAGATTCTATGCCACAGCAAATAAGAACTGTCCTTTAAAAGTCTTTCCAATGTTCATTACTATTGTGCCTCTTTATTTTCAGAAACAGGAGAAAAGTCTGCCTTTCATCCTAGCAGAGTGGGTTTGGATGCCTGATAACATTTTAACTGCCCTATTTTAGTTGGATATAAGTTCTCTATCAATTTTCCAATATATTGTCTTTTGTTCAGTTTGTCATAAGTGGATTCTCTGGTGATGGCAATTTAATACATTCTAGCTAAACTGATTCCTGCTTTTAGCTTCAGATGGTATGGCTACCTAATAAATTATAATAATTTGTAATATGTAATAATATAATAAATGAGTTGTCTGTTTTTCTACTTTTGCAAAATGTCAAGGTGTTAAGTCTGTTAATAGAAATGGAAACACTGATCTTCCCTTGCATGCTAATGTGACTTCCTCGATTTCTCTACCATAAATGTAAAGTTTTAAAACTTTACAAAATGGGCAATATGGTTCCCCAAGGTGATTTAGACATAGCTCCCACAGTTATTTGCTACTAACTGTGCTGCTGGAATAAATTAAAAAAAATATTATTCTTAGCTTTAAAACAGAGAGTGATTTCACTGAGCATATAGTGCTCACATCTGAGTTAACATATAGATGATCTAGCTATAATGCTGCAAGTCTCTTATTTAGCCTATGGCCAATTTAAATAACAGTTTCATTGTGCAAGAATAGAGAACATCCTGAAATGTATTAAATGCTGCCACTTTTAAAAGGGTTTTCTTTACATTGTAATAATTTTAATTAATTTTAATTGGATTTTAATTTATATTTAATTCATATTGTTGAATTTTTATCTTGTAAGCCGCCCTGAGTCCTTCGGGAGAAGGGCGGCATATAAATTGCAATAAAATAAAATAAAATAAAATAAAATAAAATAATAAAATAAAATAAAATAAAATAAAATAAAATAAAATAAATAAAATAAAATAAAATAAAATAAATAATAAAATAAAATAAAATAAAATAAAATAAGAAAGTGTTTGCCTTATTGCAATTGCTGCTTTCGCTTTTCATTTGAAGAAATAGTATTTAATATTTATTTACAAAAACCCATACAAAAAGTACAACTTAAGCGAAAAGCAGCAAGAAGATAACGCGCATTAAATAATTGTCAAAATACATAGCAATATATAATCAGAGTTAAAATTTAGCTTCCAGATTAACAGTTCTAAATTTAAATCCATATTCCCCTTGAGGCAATTGCCATTGAAAAAATGAACAACCTTTCTCATATTTCTTTGGAATATTTAAAACAATAATCAAAATAAGCTTTTTCAAAATATCTAAAGAAGGGAGAAGATAAGTTTTAATATACTATTTTTATCCAAAAGGAGTATCTGCAATACTGTTTTATCTGAAGAGACAATTGGATGGTTCCCATCACAAAGGTAGATATGAGAATATATGCACACACACACAAATCTTGTTCAGTGTCCAACCTTACCATTTGTTAATTTAGGATTGCCAATTCCAGTTGAACCCAATAATGAGATTCCTCTCTGCCATAAATGTATACAAGTGATACA